AAGATGAAAATGAAGGCCATCTTTGTCCCACGCACAGTGCGTGGACTCCAGGGGCGAACAGGGGTTAATAGTGGGGGTTTGTTGAACTCTCCGAGACAACACCAACAACAACAGCAAAAAAAAGGGCAACAAAAAACTACGGTGTCTTTTTGTTTTTGCACTGTACACGGCCGGAAAACGGAAGCGCCTGTTTTGGTATTGTTTATTATTGTCTGCATTTATGCTGCGCTGCCCATTGTGAGAATTATGAATGTGCGTTTATGGTTATGGGCCAGGGACTATAGGGAATGCCATAGAGAATGTTATGGGGGAATGTTATAGTGAATGGCATAGGAAAACACTATGGAGAATGGAACTTGTAACTAGAAAACTCAAAGCGGCGAAATGGAACGACATGGTGACATTGCAATGGGAGCACCGATGTCGTTGCCAAAGGTGTCGCCTCCAACTATCGCCACATGTCACACATAGCACGTACACTGGCAAAAAACCCCAAGAAACATATTTGAATGACCCCAAAACAACAGAAATTTGTGGAAATAAATTTTGTCAAAATCGCCACTTTAGAATAATAAATATATTAAGTACCAGGACTTGTACAATATTTCGACCAATTTTAAATATTTTTGAGATATGTACATATGTATTTCTTTGATTCAAATCACTAAATTTAATTTTAGTTCAAGTTATTCTTTTATATCAATGAATACTATAGTAGAGTTGTCGATTTGCAGTTTTTTTCAGTGCATCGCCGCATATTCATCACTCACACACACCAATATGGACGCACCATTAAAGATCAGCGACGGTGACAAAGTGCGTCCGGTTTTCAAAAAGTGTCGGATGCAAATGTGCAAAGCGACAAGGAGTGGGTGAAGTGGGAGGGGATAAAGAAGGAGAGGAACAGTTCGATAAAGAGGAGAAGCCAAAGAGAGAGATATGGGGGAAAATGCATCGAATTGGGGGAGAAAACAATATTGGCAATGCACATTTTGCAGGAAGGGAAATTGAAATGGAAACATGTGCAGCGGTGGAAAATGCTTCTGCTTCTGCTTCCACGTTTTCCACTCTTTTTTCAACCAACTGCAACACCATAAAGTGTGAAATGGAAAAACACATAAAAAAGCAGGAAAAAGTGAGGGGGAAAAGAACAAAACATATGCTGGCGGCCCGTGGAAATGCGGCACAGTGGGTCACAAAGTGTTAAATCATTAAAGTACGAAAAATATTAAAACGAGACGGAAGCTCGTTAAATTTCCCATTTGAAAATTTCCAAAATTAAATTTAATTGAATGGGAACGTGAAAACAATTAAAATACAAGAATTTCTCTTTTTCGAACTGGAAAAATAAAAGATGAGGACTTATAAGGTTTGGAAATTGTTATAAATAAGGTGGGCAAATGTACACTAAGAACTGAAAACAATAACATGATCGTGAGTTTTAAAAAAATCAAACATTGGCTTATTAAATAATTTGTATTTTTGGTGTTATGTTATTAAGAATAATAATCATTTTGAACGAGTTTACTTAAAGCCAAGATAAGAGATAACAAAAATCCGCTTTCATAATTTTTCATGGCTTGCTGAAATTAAAAGAGGCTCTTTAATTCGAGACTTTCGGACTTTCGGGAACAAGATCTTCAAAGGCGATTCTAGAGAATTCCTATGGTGTTTTTTGCATAACAAGCGCTATTGTATTTTTTGTTTGCTAGTGAAATTCGAGGAGGGAGGAGCACTGGGATATGGCAGCCCGAAAAGCGATTCCCCAGAACGCCGTCATCCATCGTGCACTTGATGCGCGGCCATTTAATGCCCGACAAGAAAACAAACTTCTCAGGAATGCCACCCACCGAGGATGCAAAATAAACGGGGCGGCGAATGTGAAACCTCCCTGGCAAATAAAAGTGCCGTCAAAAATCCAATTCCATCTTATTCATTTCGCTTGGTCGGCAAACTGATGGTGGGCAGTGTAAATGTCCACATCTGTTTGCTTATTTGTTGACACACAAACTGCAAACCAAACCAGAGTTTTATGCTTTAATTTTATTCTTTGCCAATGTTGTGTTGATGTTTAAACGAGCTGTCTGCAGATGGGGGAAAATGACACACAGATCATTTGTTTTTATGCTTTCGTGAGATTTATTCGAGATTTTCAGTAACTTGATTTTTTCATCATTCCATTAAATTGTTAGTTTTTGTGCAGTGGCGCCAAAGTCATTATAAAATAATTAATGAAATACCTTTAGACTCGGTCTGTGAGTCTGCAACATAAACCTAGCTCATTTCTTGAAGCAAACAGTTAAGTCAAACAAAAAACCCGGCCAAAAATAACAATTGTTAGGTGAGCCGGCTAAGGCAACAAATTAATATAAGGCCATGACAACAATCGAGCGGCGAAAAAACAACAAATTTGATTGGTACAAAGCGCAGGCGTCGCTGCCAATATTATCCAGCCCACCTAACGCAATAATTTGGCAAACATAAAAATAACAAAATGTGTAAAAGCGAAAAGTAGAATCGAACTCAAAATGCCCTAAAACTGATTGGAATTACACGCATATCGATCAATACTTTTAAAAAGTTAATTTAATTGCTGGCCATTATTTAAAGCGATAAAAAGCCAATAAATTATAGTCTGAGCGTGAAAGTCGCTGCATTTATTACTTGTGTACTAATTTGAATACAAATTAAATACAACATCGTTTAGATTTAAATAATTGAAATTTACATTTTACAAGCTTTTACAAAACTACACTAATGTGAAGACGATCATTTGAAAGTGTTTGTATATAAATGGAGCTGTATCATATTTGAATTTATGAGTGTTTGTAAGTAAGATTAGTTAATAGGCGTTTCCACTTGTTAAAAAAAAAGTTTAGTTATGTTAAAATATAGATTTGTGCCGGTTTTTAAAGTTAACAGAGTGGTTTCATAAAAATTATTTTACTTAATAAAATGCTGCCCTCGTTCCTGAGATAGTGTATAAATGGCAATATGTATTCATACCCCAAGTCAAACGTTGATTTTCGTCTTGAACTTTGCTTTGCTTTGCTTTATTTTCCGCCTTCCTTTGTTGTTTGCCCTTTTTTTTCTGATCTCAGACACGTTCCACTCGCATTTGAAATTTAGCAGCCCAAAAAAAAAAAAATGAATAAAACAGAAATAAAAAAGAACAGCGAACCGCGGGGTAATATAAGCCTCGAACAAGTTCTCGGGTAAATAATTAAATATGTATCTTGGCTTTTTATATTCGCTGGTTATTTGTGTATTTAGCCGGGCTATTCATTTACTGGCCTTGCCATTCCCAGTGATGCCAATTTGAGCAATTTACATAATTCCAGTCGCTGGGAATGGGTTTTGTGGCCCAATAGTAACTACTTTTAGACGTCATACCAGACGGCGGAAATTCACAGGCATTATACAGTAATTACAATCTGCTTTCCACTTCTGAGCCGTTGATTTTCTTTTTAATTTTCAATTAAACTTAGTTGGCTTTCGGTTTGGGTAGGCCTAAATGTATTTATGCAAACATGAATTTTGTAAGACACGTGAGAAACTTAAAAATATTGTGTTAGTTAAGAAAATTATTTACATCTAAAAAATAGTTCTTTCTCTTGAGGAAATATGAATTGTAATTCATATGCATAAGCTATTAAGTCAGCTTATGATTTTTTAAATTGATATTTTATAATGGATAAATTTTAGCTTGCTATTAAAAATATTTTTTTGTTAACTAATTATTTTTTTAAATTAATGTATTTTTAAATACAAAATTTTTCCAAAGCTAAGAAAAGAAGCATAAATTATTTGTTAAATTATTGAACAAAATGTTACATTTTTGCGAAAACATTTTTTGCAAAACTTAAAAAAAAGGATTTTTGGAGTGCAACAAACAGAGGTTAAAGCCAGTTCGGAGTTCATTGCTGTGTTGCATCGCAGTGGCAGCCACGCCTCAAAGGAAAAGGCAAAAGAAACGCGCAACTGAACTTTCGCAACAACCCCCCCACCACCCACCTTAACCCCCTTCAGCCACCGCTTAACCCTCGGCAGCCACAGCCACAACAACTGACCCACTCACTCGAGAATCCCTCTCTTTCCCGCCTGTCTGAGCTGCTTTTTATGGAAACCGGCTAAATTCCATTTGATTTGGAAGTCGGGCCAAGAGCCAATGCCTCGTCTTCTTGTCATCATTTCTTGCCTTGCCTTTTCTTTCTTTCTCTGCACGGGGAAAAAATATTCCCACATATTGGCCATACCAAAAATGCAATGCTGATCCATTAACATATTGCCATTCTTGGTCATTTCGTTGGTGTGCTCTAAACTGGTTTTTAAATATTTAAGAAAGTATGTTTTCTTCATCGTATTTAATAATCTTAAACGAGACTTTTTTTTAGCAGTTGGATCTTTATTAACAAAACCATTACATAGTTTGAGTTTTATAAAAGTGGGGAAACGAAAAAGCAAACTAAATAATCTTATCTTTTGTGTCTCCCTTTTTATTTTGCTAAGGTATATTTTATCTTAATCTTTTGATTTAGAACCAAAATCTAGTGTTCTAGTATGTAGACCAATTTGGTATAAAAACTCTAGAAATTTAAAATAATAATTTTAATTACATATTTAGTTACGGAATTAATATTTTTAGAAACTCATTACTTTTTTAAGTATTATTCTACAAACTGATCGATTTTTGATAAGACTCATTGGGTTTATATTCTCATTAAAGAAATCTAATCGGAATTTTTCTGGGTTTACACTACATTAAACGGATCTGAATTGTTTTAAAATTGTTTTCTGATATTTGAGTTTGTTTTGGTAGAAACTTCTAGAGGTGATCAAATATTTTTTTCAGTGTACTGCATTTCACTCGACGTCAAGGGCGTTGGGTTGTTTTTTGTAATTTACAAATATTTATGGATGGAAATGCAAATATAAAATCCGCCAGGATTAAATATTTATATATTTTGTTTGTAATTATTTAAATGAAATGCTGAACTTACCTTACAACTTCCTACGTCAACTGTTGCTGTTTGTTGTTGAATTCCTTTAAATTTTCACAGTTTTTGTCAAATTTGCATTCAATAATAACAAAACAATAGTCAAAAAAAAAGCCGCGCAAACAAACAAACAAACACACACATACACACACTAACGCGTGAAACGAGTTTTATTTGCTGCACACCCAAACAACAACAACAACAACGGCGAAAAGGAAACCGCAATCAGCCAAGGATAAAATGCGCTTTGCAATTAAATCCCGTCGCTCCGCCCGCATCATTGGGGCTTTATTTTTCTCAGTGTAAATGGAAGGCAACAGGAACGCCGTTCGGAAAAAAAAAAAACAAAACAAAACAAAACACGGAGAGTTGGGCGCAAAAAAAGGTAAATAAACGCACGAAACGCCGACGACGATGCGTTGTCTTTCGAAACCCCGATTGGTGTGACCGTCGCCCATCTACTTAATGACACCGCTTGGCGTCGCGTCTGAAGAATCGAATGTGCAATCGATAATTATCAAAAATAAATATATCGGCAGAATGCAAATTCAATTCGATTTTTATATACGATAGTTTGATTTCTTTTTAATCAAGTAGATATTTTGGTTAACCCATAATTCTTTTTAACTAAAGAAGTAGAGATTTAAGCAAATATTAATCATTTTAACGGTTTCTACTGCCCCATTTATTCTTAAAGTGTTGTATATATATATCAATAGCAGTAATGGGCTTAAATAGAATCGCCACTATATTTGTGCTAATTATCATGGTTAGATTATACATTTACAATGGGTAATTTATAGATTTACAAAAAAAATTAAAATGTGCTTACATGCACATCTCTAAAATTAACATAAGATTTAAGTGTGGACAAAAACCGTGGAAGAAAACTTGGGAAGCCCGTAAAACAGGCGCGCTTTTAAAATGTTGTTATATTTTTAAGTCAAATGTAAATGCAATAATTAATTAAGCTTGATGGAAAAATGCAAGGAGATAAGTATTTTCTTTTAATTTTCGTTTGCACAAAAAGCATTTGCGCTACCAACACTGTGACCAGTGTTAATATGCGCCTTTGTTCCGCTTATTCAACTTCAAAAAAGATAAAGTTCTCACATCACTAGAAGTACTGATAAAAATATATATTTTTATTTTTCGCTTACTTTAAACTGTTGAAGAAAAAGATCTGAATAATGCCGGTGAGTAAGAAGTCCCAAAAATACTCGGATAATAAAAATTAAAAACACCGATTGATGAGTAATATCTGACCGAATAAAAAATATAACTTGCAAATTGTATTTTTGTTTACATATGAAACGGAAAGGCCTTTCACTCGGAGATTGAGGAGTTTCAAGGATCGGTGGGTAATATGGCCATTTTACCACTACGTACACAAATCCGAGGACCAGCGCCCAACGTTGATATTCCCAACGATATCATCGATGAGTCACTGTACTTCTGGAAGTCAAACATTTTCTTCCGTACATACGAAGTTAAGGTTGGTAACTAAACAAAGAGTTTAGAAATAAGAAAAATACATATAAAACAAATTTTTACTTAGAAAAACAGATCTAAATCAAAAATATTTAAAAGAAATCGTTACTATTCAGGCCAGTGAATGCAGCTCTTTCTAAGTCAATATTTTGATGATAAATCCAAACTACGTTATCTCACAACAACAAAGGCCATGCAAGAATGTTATCAAAATAAATTTAAAATGAGCTAAGCTATTTTTAATTTAATTTTTAAAATACCCTTTCTTAATTTTATTCATTTTAATTTTTATAAATGTAAACATGAGTAGCAACTAATTTTTAATGAAATGCCTAAAAATATTACTGTACAAATCGCTTGGTATTATTATGTTTTAATAAATTTTGTTGCTTTTAGTTTCAACTTCCATATAAAAAGCTTTACAAAGTATTTTACAGCAGCTAAATTTCAATAATAAAATAAAAAACAGCATAGCCTAAGTTGTTATTATTTTCCGCCCAACTAATAACCCCTATACCATATCTAATCGCAGTCGGAAGTGGACCGGGTGCTTATCTACATAACGCTGTACATAACCGAATGTTTGAAGCGTTTGGCGCGCTGCACGAGCAAATCGCAGGGTCAGCAGGAGCTCCATACCCTGGCCATCTCGCGGTTCGATCTGCCCGGCGATCCGGGATTCCCCCTGAACGCCATATACACCAAGCCCGACGATCCGGAGATCATGCGCCAGTACTTCCTGCAACTCCGCCAGGAAACCGGAACGCGACTTCTGGAGAAGGTGTTCGACACGCCGGACGACAAGCCCAGCAAGTGGTGGATATGCTTCGCCAAGAAGAAGTTCATGGAGAAGAGTCTTTCGGGACCGGGAATGTAGAAAGATAAACCATTTTGTAACACTTTTTTTTTTTGACTGTAAACATTTTAGACTTCTCACTAAGCCAAGAAAATACTGCCGACTTTTAAACAAACAATGATTAACGAAAACAAAACAGGACTGCTTTTCAAAAGGGCTGTTAATACGGCTAAATGCTAAGAATAAATAAATATTTTGAAAAATGTTAGAAAGAAAACAAGTTTGAATAATTTTGGATTAAAAATAATTTATTGTGGATTTGTTTTTAATAGATTTGTACGCTTTCAAAAGCGCATATTCACATTTAATGCAAACTTAATGGCTAGTAGCGATGTTGTTGAAAGCTAATTAATACTTTATATAAATCTCACTATATTTATAAAATCGATGATATACATTTTTTTTTACATATTATTTTAGCGTTAATTAATTTCAAGCTAAGGCGCCGAAACAGTTTAAAACAGATGGGTAATCATTTATTAAAATGGTTTTATGTTGCAGATCATCTTCTTTTATGCCTCTGCTTTTTTTTTTGTAGAATGCCAATAAACATTTTTATAGATACATAACAAATGCACAGCTTAAGACTATTAACAAAAAAAGTCGAAAAAAAATACACGGCATAGGAATTAAGCTTAGAATAGAGCACGGCAACGCATTCACATATAGTTTAACAGGAATGACAGCATTATTTACAAAAAAAATACTTGCTAGCGATTTAAGCCTACTTAAACTCCTTGACAATCTCCACGATGCTCTGGTAGGTGCCCGTGACGATTCCCAGGACGGCCACCGTCAGGATGAGGATGTTCTTGATGTACGACCACGCCCCCAGCCCCTTGGGCACCGGCGCCCGCGTCACAAAATCGATCAGCACCGGGATAACGAAGGCCAGACATGTGGAGCACAGTGCGCCGATCAGCGAGATGAACAGATTTAGCTTGGGAACGACCAGCGCGACGCCAACTAAAAGAGGGTTAGAAAATGGGTAAAAACTTCGTTAAAAACTGGCCTAACACTAGGTTAAAGCTGGCTTAAAACAGAGTTTTTCAATTTAAGACTTATACATCAAATAATCCCTACAGATACTTTTTAAATATATTACAATATTTAAATACAAAATTATCATTATCTCTAAGTTTACAAATTAAGTAGAAATGGTAATGATAATGAAATTACTTTTTATAATCATAGAACTAAATTAATTTCCTATAAAATCTACTTACATGTCATCATTACCATTACAAAACGTAGGCACACCTGCATTGTAATGGGATATTTTTGAGCACAATTGTTGGACCGTTTGAGTGGGGGCCACAGGATCTTCATCATCACAAAGAATTGGATGGGATAGCCCAGGAAAACGCCCAAGGCTGCTACAACTTTTACCACCTGCGAAAATCTGCAATAAAATCAACAAATATTATAACCCTTTAAATAAAAAAAAGAAGATTTTTATCACATTAAGCGGCGTTAAAACACCATTCAAAAAAGTCCTTTCCTTTTAAAATAGAATTATTTTTGGCTTTTCTATAGAAATTGTAATCATTAAAAAAGTCAAAATTAAAACTATTCTATTTAAACTAAAAATATATTACATTTTATATATAATATATAATATTTTTTATACAAAAGCTTGTGAATTTGGTCAAGTTAAGAAGCCGAAATAATTGAAAGTTATATGGTCGCAATTAGGAAATACAGAATGATAATAATAATCCTTTCAATATTATTTTAGATGAGGTTAGTTTGTTATATTCCTGAACTGCACGACTTACACTTCCTCCACCACCAGATTGAGCGTTATGCTGCCGGCGACATCCTCGCCCCATCGAACGTAGCTAACGAATCCGGTGAAGATGAACAGGGCCGTGGTGAAGAACATCGTGGAGTTGAGGACTCCGAACCGGGTGCTGAAGTTCTCCGGCCGGCGCATCGAGTTCCGGAGCGGCAGGATCAGGGCGATGCCCTCGTAGGAGAAGAGGGCGGTGCCGAAGAACAGGGACAACTGGGCCCCTCCTGTGAAGAGGTGCCTCTCCCCGAGCGACGGCATCGGTCCGTCCGAGAATGCAATGGTCAGGGTGGCAATCAGGCCGAAAAGGAGCGCCACATTGGCGAACAGCGACACGGGGGAGATGTACTTGAGGTTGGTCATCAGCGAGGGGATCATGGCCGGGAGCAGGGTGATCAGCATCACCATGCTCATGCTGATGTCGACTCCATTCTGCTGAAGGACCTGGGATACAATAATATTGGGGGATTTATTGGGGTAACCAAAATCGGAAATATTAGATAAAATACATATATTTTTCTGCTGTGACAATCTATTTTTTGAAACAATGATTATTTCTTAAACTTGTTCAAAATACTTAATGATGTTATTGGGTTTTCCCGCTGTAACATTTACATTTCATTTGAAGTATTGACGATACAACAAATTGATTAAATAATGCAGTAGTTTGTGCACAAATATATTCAAACTTGTAAAATGTTGAGTACAAATTTGTATATCGTTGCAGAGAGTAAAAAATGTTATAAGGGCCTCTCTTAAATATATTAGAGCCTCTCTTAAATATATTAGTGTCTTTTCTGGGTGTGTGAAAGTATTTCTAACTGTTGTATGAAGAGTATTTCATACTTTTTTAAAATATTTATAAATGTTGTGAATTGTTTTTTGGGTGTGTACCCACCTGGTGAAGGTTCTCCGTGATGAAAACAAAGTAGATGGCGCAGAATCCGAACTGGGTGACGCAGAGGAACATCTCGACGACGAGCTTCATGATCCGTGACATTTTTCGGAGGGGGCGTGGTCCGTGCTCGAAGCACTTCTCCACGGTTTCCGGATAGTCGAGGAAGTCCACGCCCGGTGTCCGTTCCACGGCCAAAACGGATCCTCGGATCAGCATGCGTTCGCAGTGGACGCACATCACGGCAATGATGGGCAGCAGGATGGTGGCGCCGGCCAATCCTCCGTTTTTGAAGCAATCGCCCATGGCGAAGAGTCCTGCGCCCACGCTGCCCTTGAAAAGATGGGTGGCTGCCTCCAGTTCGCTGGTTTCATGGCCACGTTTACGCACTGGATCCCCGTTCTCGGGATCACTGCCCTTCTCCACACCCTTCTCCTGGCCCTTTTCGTGGCCCTTATCGAGTCCATTCTCCTGCTGCCTCCCGGTTATTTCCAGTGTCCTTCCCATTTCGCCTGCTGCTTCGATCGCCTTTTGATCGCTGCGCTGCTGTTGCTGTGGGTTAAATGGAAAATTTTGTAAAGTCAGTCCGAGGTTTTCGGTTTCTCGCCTCCCAAAATAAAGCTTTAACGGTATTTGACGGACAGAGAATGAGAGACAGAAACGCACAATTAGCATTCTCTTTATTTTAACTGCAGGTTCATTGTCTCCCAGCTCATGCTTTAACCCTAGAAATGCCAAAATTTCATACAACTGCAAAAGCTGCATCTCTTATGAATTCTCTAAGCTTAACTGCATCTTGTTTATCCCTCTCTGAATTCGCCTTAAATGTTACTCATATAAAGTTTTTATGTTCCAGTTTCTGCACCGTCCAACTTATTATTTTAGATTTTAACCATTTTTCGCTCAGTGTTTTTACGATACCAAAGCCAATAATTGTCCAATAATGGAATGCCATACCTTGTTGAACTCGTAACAAAATTTCCAATCAAGTTGCATTTACAACTTTTTTTGTAAAATTTTTGAAAAATATCATAGGGTTACCCCTGGTGAAAATTATGAAATGTGAAAACTTGGATTTTGAACCATTTTTCGCTCAAAAATATCAGTATTTTTACGATCAAAATGTCAATAAATGTCCAATAATGGTATGCCATACCTTGTTGAACTCGTAGCAAAATTTCAAATCGAACTGCATTCACAGTTTTTTTTGTAAAATTTTTGAGAAAAATCATGATGAAAACCTCACGAAATATGTAAAAAATGGGATTTTACCATTTTTCGCTCAAAAATATCAGTATTTTTACGATAACAACGCCAATAATTGTCCAATAATAAAATGGCATACCTTGTTGAACTCGTAGCAAAATTTCCAATCGAACTACATTCACAGTTTTTTTTGTAAAATTTTTGAGAAAAATCATGATGAAAACCTCACGAAATATGTAAAAAATGATATTTTACCATTTTTCGCTCAAAAATAGCAGTATTTTTACGATAACAACGCCAATAATTGTCCAATAATAGAATGACATACCTTGTTGTACTCGTAACAACATTTCCAATCCAGTTGCATTCACAGTTTTTTTTGTAAAATTGTTGAGAAAAATCATGATGAAAACCTCACGAAATATGTAAAAAATGGGATTTTACCATTTTTCGCTCAAAAATATCAGTATTTTTACGATAACAACGCCAATAATTGTCCAATAATAAAATGGCATACCTTGTTGAACTCGTAGCAAAATTTCCAATCGAACTACATTCACAGTTTTTTTTGTAAAATTTTTGAGAAAAATCATGATGAAAACCTCACGAAATATGTAAAAAATGATATTTTACCATTTTTCGCTCAAAAATAGCAGTATTTTTACGATAACAACGCCAATAATTGTCCAATAATAGAATGACATACCTTGTTGTACTCGTAACAACATTTCCAATCCAGTTGCATTCACAGTTTTTTTGTAAAATTGTTGAGAAAAATCATGATGAAAACCTCACGAAATATGTAAAAAATGGGATTTTACCATTTTTCGCTCAAAAATATCAGTATTTTTACGATAACAACGCCAATAATTGTCCAATAATAAAATGGCACACCTTGTTGAATTCGTAACAAAATTTTCAATCGAGCTGCATTCACAGTTTTTTTTGTAAAATTTTCTAGAAAAATCATGATGAAAACCTCACGAAATATGTAAAAAATGGGATTTTACCATTTTTCGCTAAAAAATATCAGTATTTTTACGATCAAAATGTCAATAAATGTCCAATAATGGAATGCCATACCTTGTTGAACTCGTAGCAAAATTTCAAATCGAACTGCATTAACAGTTTTTTTTGTAAAATTTTTGAGAAAAATCATGATGAAAACCTCACGAAATATGTAAAAAATGGGATTTTACCATTTTTCGCTAAAAAATATCAGTATTTTTACGATCAAAATGCCAATAAATGTCCAATAATGGAATGCCATACCTTGTTGAACTCGTAACAAAATTTCCAAACGAGTTGCATTCACAGCCTTTTTTGTAAAATTTTTGAGAAAAATCATGATGAAAACCTCACGGAATATGTAAAAAATGGGATTTTACCATTTTTCGCTCAAAAATATCAGTATTTTTACGATAACAACGCCAATAATTGTCCAATAATAAAATGGCATACCTTGTTGAACTCGTAACAAAATTTCCAATCGAGTTGCAGCTTGTATTTCAAAAACAAATCATGATTAAGAAACATGATAAATGTGAAAAATGTAATGATTTTTCTCTCAAAAATATTAGTGATAATATAAGATTCTGTTTATTCTGCATTGTATTATGCAATTAGATCAACGATTTTTAATGTTAACTTCTACACATATAGAAATCAATAAAATAAAATCAGATAAATACGCGAAGCCTACAATTCCATTCATAATAATAAAAAACGCTGACACATGTTAATGGATAGGCCATTGGCAACATGTTAATTAAGTCGAATAAAGTAGTGAATAAATAATAAGTTTAATTCATTAAAATTCATCTCGCTCTTAGACTAGTTCATGTCAATGTCAAAATCCCATAGAATCTTGCTAAGTAACCTTTATTGTTTATTATGTTTATAAACTGATTTTTTAATGTAATAGACATCAGATTTTTCACAGAAACACTAGTATGTAAAAAAGTTTAAAATCAAATAAAAAAAATGTTTAAGAAATGGTCTTCGAAAAATAACATTTTTCGACAATCTCTAAAAATATTTTCAAAATTGCAGCCCGGTTTATGTTTGAGTGTTTTAATGTACGACACGTGTTAAAGGCATTACAATCTTTCAAAATAAGATCTTAAAAGCACTTGAAATAAACGACTTTTGAGACTAATTTGAATATCCGAAGTTGTTTTTGCACACACTCAAAGTAAAAACTAATTATTCGCGCACTCTCCAGCGTTAGTAAACATAACACTTTTAATAACCTGGAAATTGGAAATTAACCCGTCAAGGCCGCAACACTTAATTATTCACAATGAGTGCGGGAGTTATTCAGTTTTTCATAGTTATTCAGACACTTGATGGCGCTCTTTGGCTTCGAACAGATTCCACAGCATTAATTAATCCGACCACCGATAAGCATTTCGTATTAAGTGTCTATTTATTCATTCGCAAGCGACGTTCACCTGTTGATGACTGCGGGTAAGTATCGCTGGGGTATCGGAAAATCGCAGACAAATAGGACCGCTCACGGCAAGAACTCAAACCAGACTCAATGCTCGAGTTGGCCAACAGAAGCGAATAGCAAAATTGCAAAAGCAAAAGTCGAAAAGCGAAAAAAATAGAAAAATAAAAAGTGGGCGTCTGTCTGTGTGAGCAATGTAAAAATGCGCATAACGTTAACCCCCTGCACTCGTTAAAAAAAATATTTCCCTCTTCCTGAATGCAATTTTAAATGATGATCGGTTTCTTTTCGCTTCTTCAAAACCCGATTTCTTATCTTCGGGTTAAACAAATCCGATACACACCAGCTTTGACGCTCACCGATTATATGCTTCAATTAAAGCTTATTTTAATAAGAGCATAGAGTCACTATTAAAATACATTTTTAAATTTATATATATCAGATTTAAGTGTTTAATAAAATATAATGTTTTCATCAAAGAGCAAAATCTGTAAAAAGCTTTTAAAATATTTTTAATAAAATAAATACCTTAGTAATTAAATAAAAAACTGTTGTGGGTTGGAAACCCCCTGGGTAAGTAAGGGGTTAAGATGCGTGGGAGAGTGAGGGAGTGTGAGATCTATTCCGATCTGATTATCGACAATATTTGTAACTGGTCTGCTGACTCAACGTGGTTAGACATCACTTTCCCTCGAGGACTTGTCATTTCTATGTGGAAAATTACCGTGGAAATGCATTGAACCGAAGGGAGATGAAAACTAGCAGGATAAGATAATCCGTGTTTCGTCATAGATCAATAATTAATCAAGATATGTATACTAAAGTCAGTTAAAAAAAAAAAAACTTCGTTTAAATATTGCGAAAAAGTACTGTATATAGTTACTTATTATAAAACTCCCACTATATTAACAAGGTAAAGAAACGAAAACATTAAAAGCAATTGTATGTTAAATGTACTTGAACGAATTTGTATGCCGAGCTGAACAAAAGTTAATAAAAAATCCCCTTGCAAACTATTTATTTCCAGATAAAATATATGTAAGATCAAAATCGGCTTACCAGAATAACCAAATTCGATTAATTAGCCAAACTGTCATGAACAGTTTTGTAGACAGTGGATAAGGCTTATAGTTAATTGATGCAAATTTATTTAGAAAATGATTAATGCAAATTTATTTCATTAATTGATTTACCAGGAAAAATCTAAAACCGCCTCTTTGTGTAAATAAACAGTTTTCATCATTTGATCAAATCAATTATTTTTTCAATTTGTATTATTGTTTTAGTCGTTTATACAAATATGATAATTATTGGCGGTAATTAATACAACATATTCAGAGTTCACTGGAAAAATCCGCTTTAAACCTACCTTTCTATAAACCAATTACTTTGGCTCAGCAGAAAAGAAGTCATACGTTAGATAATATGCAAATAGATAGGTATTCAAAGTTTTTTTTTAATAACTCATGCAATTAAAAATGTTTAACTGATCTAAAACACAACAAATATGACAGCACATTCTTTTAAACCAATTCAGGTAAAAATTTCTAAAATATTTTAAAAGTGGTCACTAATTTTGCCATTATTTTTGTTATTAGCAGGGACTATCTTTTTGTAGTCGTCATGCACTGTTAGTTTAATTATTTACATTCCAAAATTACATAAAACGTGAGTGGAATTTGTATAGAAATAAATTTCTTATTGTTTTGTGGCACGTGATTTTAATGAAGAAATTAGTAATTATGAGGTGTATTTAAAGTAAATAAAACGGCAGTTTGGGTTTAATATATATATTTAAATTTTAATTCATAGACATTTGCTTAGTAGCGGGCATATGTGAATCTGTAAAAACATTAAAAATGAGAAACTTGTCATCAACGTTACTAAACTGAATTGTGTATTTCGACCGACGAACATTTATGGGCTGTAAAAATGTTGTCATTCATCATTCAAAGTTAGTAAATTTATTTATTTACTTGCTGACGGCTATGAGAGTGTATTTTAAGAGTGCAACGGTGGATCCGTAACGCCGATTGCGTCACAACATTGAGTACTCGTAAAAAGAAATGGATTGTGACCGGGGGTTTTCACCAGCAGGAAGTGGTTTAATCAGGTTCAAGGATTCGAAAGTTTCCCGGAATTTGGTTGTCGACTCGGTACGTGCCCATCGCATCGAATTCTTGGGTGTAGCATGAATGCTATATCTAGTATATACGTAAAGCGCACCGCATTCGTGATCGTTACACCTTTACCTTAACCCCCTGCAGCCCCCTGGGGCCATTGAAAACGCACGGAAATTTACCGCCCTGATTGAAGAAGCGCCAGTTAAATGAATTGCACGGAATCAAAGTTCTCCGGTCGGTTGCTCCATCTCACTTCTTCCAATCAACCGATCGATAGATCGATCGATGTTTACGGAATTCAGCAATTGGATTATATAAGGGGAACTAAAAAACAAATGCATAACAAGATGCAGGGGCGTCGTCATGGGTTAATATATCTCTAGATCATAACAGGAAATATTCTTTGAAGAAAATATTTTAAGAAGAAAAGATTATCCTGGATGAATGAAAAGTGGTAATTCCCCAACCCAATTTTATATAAGCTCAAAGCTTTCAAAGTTGTCTCTGTTTAATATTTGTTCAATTAAATTAATCAACGATTTAATTATGCCTAAGCCATCAAAAATATGTATAAAACTAAATGAAGTTGTAAAAAGTAGTCTTTTGTTTGGTATATTTCATTGACCCCCTTTTTGTGCGATCCTGACTTCCGCCATGCATATCCAACGACATTGCCTGCAGTTCCATTCATCGTTCGAGTTGAAGGTCGTTGGCGAACGGTTTCGATTAGATTGATTTGGTTCGGATCGGATTAGATTAGTGTAATTCCCATACAGGGAGATAGAGCACGAGATATGATTCTCGGTATGACTTATAACCAGTTTCCTCCAGATGAAAGCGAAAGTCGGCATACGATATCTATCCGAACACAATTTATGGTTTCTTCGGAAACGGGGTCAATGTCAAAGCTTATTTGGAAGTTATAATCGCAGCCAATTTAATTCAATTTCAGTAAACCCGTTCCGCCACTTGATTAGTATTCATCACATTTATCTTATTTCTACTTTTATTTGCACGTAGTAAAAAAACGCAACTGAAATCTGATTCAGCATAATAAGTTTACAACTTAAGTGGTAAAAAATGGCTTATCGGGATTCCTTGAGAATTGCAGATAAGGGCGCCCCGTTTTTATTTGATTATTATTTGAGTAATTTTTTCTTCAACAAATATTTATAATATTTTCTTTCCGCGAAAATATATTATTATTCAAAGCATTTTCCGCTCTTTTCAAGTACTTGAAACCCCAAAAACACACATCTGTCAAGTTCTTGTCATTTTGCGATGACGTCAAAACGAACGTCGCATCGTTTATTCTCACTTAATATCTATAAAAAAAATAATCAATTATAATAAGTAAAATGCGCTGCACGCTCACTAAGACACAATAAGAGGCACTTAGATATATATATGTGTATGTGTGATTTTTTTTGTTAATAATAAATTCGCAAACATGTTATGTATTTAGGTAATTAAGGATAATAGTAGCACAATGTTTTAATTGTGATATATTGATAATACTCCAAATAAAGTTTGTTGATACTTTGATTTTGCATTCCTTTTTTGGTGATCCTGTTTTTATATTGATTGTTTTCCCACAATCTCTAAATAAAGCTTTGATTTTATTTTGAGGTTCGATTAACATCGTGTTTTGATACTGATGATCTTCTGATATTCCTGTAATGTTCGTCCTAGTTAACTTTATTGATTCCTTATCATTCTTGAATATAATAATGAACTTTTATTGATCTTATGATCCGTCGCAGAATCCGGGTTTTTTCTTGGATGAGCCTCTGCTCTATTTAGGATTATAAATATTTTTATGGTAATCTAATGATCCATGACTTTTCTGGTGATACAATTGTAATAATGATCTAATTTGTCGTTCTTATCTCATATAGGGATAATTCTTTTAACGTTCACTTACTGTCCCAGCAAGGACCAATGATCAATTGTACATTATCAATGATCTGGTGGTTTTCTGGAAACTCCGTTTGGTATTTTAAAAATTATGAGTCTTGGAAGATCCTTGTTTCTTTTAGAGATGCTACTATAGTGATGATCTTCAGCTTATCTGCTTCTCCTATGTAGTTTTTTGATGTTTTCCTCAAAATTACTCCTCGCCGAAGTGCTTGACAATTTGCTTGAGACTCTCGTAGGATCCGGTGAAGAAGCCCAGCAGTGCCATCACCAGGATGACGAGATTCTTCACGCAAATCCAGACGCCTGGACCCTTATTCTGCTCACTCCTCGCGATCAGCTCGATGACGGGCGGAAATACCAGGGCCAAAGCAGTTGAACAAAGTGCTCCGATCAGCGAGATAAAGAGTCCCAGGGCAGGGACCATTTCCGCGATGGCAACTGCAGGAGAACCTTTGAGTTTTTCCATTTAAGATGGTCCCACATGGCGGATACTTACGGGTCACCAGGACCATACAGGTGCGGAAGCCCAGCTCACCGATCAGCGATCGTCCTTGGATGCCGCACATCTGCTTGGCGCTGGGCCACATGATCTGGATGGCCACGAAGAACTGCAGCGGATAGCCCAGAAGTACGCCGGCGGAGACCATCAGCTTGACGGCCTGGGCCAGACTGCGGATGGTTAAGAGTCTCATAGAATCGGGTGATCTAAGTCCCAAACCCAAGTCCACTCACATGGTATCACCCAGGTTGAGGGTCAGACTGCCGCCCACCTGTTCGCCCCACTTCATGTAGCCCACGGATCCGGCGAACATGAACATGACGGAGACGAGGAACATGCCCACATTGAGCACACCCAAGGGTCGCTCGAACTGGTGCGGCTTTCGCATGGCGTTCTTCAGCGGCATCACCAGGGCAATGCCCTCGAAGGCAAAGATGGCGGTGCCGAAGAAGAGGGCCAGCTGTGAGCCGTTCGTCCAGAGGGCGCGTTCCTCCACCTCCGGCAGTCCGTCCTTGAGGGCATAGTACAGGGTTATGGCCAATCCGAGGATCATGCAAACGTTGGCAAACATCGACACGGGCGTTAGCCACTTGAGGTTCGTAATCAGCGAACTGAGGAGCACGGGTACAAAGGCTAGCAGCATCACCAGATGGACGTTCATGTCAATGTCGTAGGCTTGCAGGACCTTTAAAAATGTCCCGAAATTCCATTCAGTTTCCTCCAATCTTCACCCGTTCTCTCTCACTTACCTGCTTCAGATTCGTGCTGATAAACACAAAATAGATGCAACAAAAGCCCAACTGGGTCACACAAATGAATATGTCCACCAGACGTCCCATCGTGCGGGACCAGCCCCTCAACTTCGATGGACCAGTCTCGAAACATTGCTCCACCGTCTGCGCATAATCCGCGCACACAGTCTCGCCTTTGAGATCCCTCATCTTCTTGGAACAGGTCACCAGGACGTGTTGGCAGTGGATGGAGACCACCGCTATCACGATGGTCAGAAGTGGGGCCACCAGCAGACCTCCGTTCTTGAAGGCATCCCCCATGGCGAACAGGCCGGGTCCAATGTTGCCCTTGAACAGGTGCACAATCGTCTCCAGATAGCTTGAATTACAGGAACATGGATCATCGTGGGGTTTGGGATTTTTGAAGGTGGAACTGGACTGGGTATTGTCCATATTACATAAGTACTTTTAGGTGATAATCGCTGGATATTAGTTTAAGCACTGTTGACCTTGATTTAAGTTTGAATTCAGGATCTTTATGTGGGTTAAATCCAATGATATGTTGAATTTCAGATGAAAGCAGGATCAAATAGGTAATAGGAACACGGTTGTTAATCATCTTGCGGTTAAGGATTTTGAGGGGTATTTGGTTTACGGGTTTCCTGATGATCGGTTTCATTTTTGGCGATGAACTTAGACCTATGATTATTCCATGAGGGGGGATATTATTGGGATCAATGTTAGTAGGCAGCATTCAGTGAACTTTCAATTATATACCGATGAATTGAGGCTGGGATTCAGGATTGTTAATGGGGGTTGATTTGGATTCAGGGTTACAGGATCTTGGTTATTTGTTGTTAAAGGAGTCCATTATTTATTTGGTGATTTAAAGCTGGGAGTTGAGATTAATTTAAGGATGGTTTTTGCCGAGCAGTAGGTTAGTTATTTAAGGCAGGAATTCAGGAGCTGGGAAAGGTATAGTAGCTCAATGAGAAGTTAGGTGATCCATTATACGGTTGCTTTAATTTTGATTAAACATTTTGAAAGCTCAGATCAAAAGTTAGTAAGCGTACTTCTTTGGTTAGTTTTGATGCAATTGCAGGTTGTTGGTTGGGAAAGGTTTTATAAGTTGGTTACGAGGAGCAAGCAGTTGTAGTATAATTTCCACAAGTAGCCATACCTTGTAGGCGGATGATACTCGGCATCGTGATCCTCTTTCTTGGCTGCTCCACCTCCTCCTCCACCTGCGGTTTCACCTGTCGCTCCTCTCTCCACAGTTTCCTCTTTTGGAACTGTCGCAGTCTGATTTTTCTCTACTTGTGCTGGCGTCTTTCGGTTTAAAGTTATGTATTTCGTTGATGAAAAAGGGCGAAAAAAACAAAAACAAGTGCTTAAAGTTAAAATTATAATTAAAATAGTATAAGGAAACGCTTTTTGTGAGTAGTTTTCCTCGGTAGGTTGATCGTTCTTAATTGATCCAAAACGAAAACCTCTCAAGTGTTCCGCCTGTCAATCTCCATGATCAAGTTCATAGTCGGAGATCTTATCGGGGGAATCACAGATCAACTCGTGCACGTATGTATTTAATTCCACATGACTGGAAGATTTAGTGCTATAATAAATCCAACTGGGGATTTCCATCCCAGAGCGACAGATGGAAAAGTTCTCTCGATACTGGTGATAAGAGTGCCGATGGTAGGGGATAGTTTGGGCCATAAATAAGGCCACAAACTAAATCAAAGCCAATTAAACGGATTCATAAAAGCCAAATACAAAGCAAATGAGGCGCTATCTATATCTTTATCTATATATAGTGTCGGCTAGATAAGCGGCCTTTCGATGACACCCGAACGTCTGCCAACAGACCAACGGATATCTATATCTATAGCACGTGTCTGCCTCGAGCATTGGAGTTGAATGGGTCTAATTGAAATTTCTAGATTGGACTAAACCATGTTAAAGTGTAAGTGAAGGTGCGTTACACCTGCCAACTTCATTGTTCGAATTCCGATTAAGTGATAAGCCCAAAACAAGATGCTTACAATGCTTCACAAAACAATATATCTAATTCCCTTTACTTATCGATGATGAATAATAACATATTAATGGATTTATTTTTTAATTTCCCCAATCTGTAAATTAGGCAAAGAAACCTGACCGGAACTTGGCTTCATTTTACAAATGTTTAAGCAGTTCGTGCCTTGTAATAGAATCCCATCACGTTTCTCCACTATTCATTTGATAAGTCACTGTTTACCTGTTTAGCAAAAAACCCCACGTTCATTCACAATATTCAAAACATTACCGATAACTTGCTATCAAGAAGTTATGACTGCAGTATTGAACATATGAAGTATTAATTGGGATAGATGGCAAATGATTTATGGGCCACTTTGTCAGTTTGAAATCAAATCAAGTTGTCGTATGTGTCACACTTGTTGTTAAGTCCCTGTTGCCAGCTACCTACTATATAGGACATACATCTGTTAAGGGGCTTAAGTGCATCTTAAGTGTCGTAAATAACAAGCGACATATCGCCAAACTGATTTTACTTTCGCTCTCAAATGCTCGTTTAGATTATCGACCCACATGTGGTATACGCAATCTACGGAGGACATGGCGCCCCTGACGTATACGTGATATTTAATCGGGTACTCCAGAAATAGTTTGTCTGAAACCTTGTGTAAATCTAGACAATTATTTCCATTGCTTATCGGCAGTTAAAGTAGTTAAGACAAAGTATAAATTGTTATTATTTTTCCAGGTATTTTGATAATTAAAGGAAGTTGGCTCGATTTGGGGATTTTTTTTGGACAAGAGTAATACATATTTTCTGGAATGCTTTAACTCTTGTTTTAGGGTATTAAAAACTTCGGTAGTCCGAGTATTGTTTCTGTCTTATGCCACTAATTAAATAAGAAAAAACTATAGAGGTAGGCAATGGGTATGGGGAAAGGGGGCACTACCATGCCCTTGAACAGCTTCAGCTTTAATCTAGGCTAGACTTTTACCGTGGAAAGGCAGACGTGAATTGTTGACAGATAACACCAGATAGAACAATCTTCAAGTGCGTGGTGTGGTCCACCCCCTCACACACCACCCCACATACCGCCTTAACCCATGGCAGCCCCCATTGGCAAACTGTCAACAGGGCCGCACTGATATTATTTATGTGCGGTCTCATTTCCCTTCTTGTTTTTTTATTTTCGTGCTTCTTGAATTGAGCAACGTCTTCGAGTGGAAAATTTTCCACGGCTGATGGTGCGTGGGGCTCAGGTCACTTTGTCGAGGGTTCACTGCACTTGGAAGCAACACAAAAAATGTTGAATTTCTCTTTTATTAATGTTGCCGGAAATCTGACAAGCTCAAAGGGAACCTTGATTGGCCTTTATTGGCAAAGCTTTTGTCCGCCACACAAACGCATTGGAAATAAAATTCCATAAAACGCGATATTTACTTTAAAGAAAACGAAAGAATTTTCTTATATATACAAACAGTTGAAAAAAAATGTTTCCATTTTATATATCAATTTAAATTGTTTTTTTTTTTAAATCAAAAAAGGGCTTAAATATTTGTAAGTGCTGTTATAGATATTGTGCATTGCATTTTAAGTTGAGGTGATTAGTGCACAGATAGATTTAACTATAAAATTGTGTTCGGTGTTTGTCTGGTCCAGAACAAGTTCTGACCTTGATCAAGCAAATGCATAAAAGTGTGTGAATTTCCATTTTCCACAATTTGCATTTTCCAGCGGCACAAAAAGATTAAATACCTCAGGCGTAACTAAGCAAAATACAGGGGTGTGGCTAAAAGGGATTTTTGCTGCCGTAAATCATTGGTAATCTTTTATTAAAGATAATTGCTGGCTAACCCATAAATCTAAACCAAAAGATAAGCAGGAATTTCGCACTAATCAATGATTTCGTTTAACGGAAGTTTATGTCAACCTAATGGGTATATGGCGATAAAGAATGTAGTCCTATAAGATCTCTTACTTCATTTATTTTCTAAAATATATAATTATTGTTTATTAAATAATGGTCTTTGTATGATCCTTTAAAAAAATGTGTTTATGGTTCTTAGATTTATAAATAAATGATAAGGCAAATTGTTTAGTATTAGAATGGCGCAAATAATTTGATATGTAAATAATGTAGCAACTTAAATAGTTGGAATTTTAAACATATATTTTCATTTAAATGTATTTTATTCTGTGTATTTGAACCCCCATTAAATCCAAATTTCCTAGTCACTCACATCTTTCCGATGTTTATACAATTGTTAGCGGACTTAATGAGTTTCCACTAATATTGTTTTATTCGCATTCCATTGCTTAATTGCTGTTATTAAGCTGGCTTATCGCAACTATGTATATTCCCCCTTGAAAAAACTTTGCCAACGACTCTGTTTTTAACAAAATATAATTCATCAGCTTTGGTAAGAAATTTGTTGATATTTCTTTACTGATTTTGCACTTGAATTTTTTTTTGTTTACCAAAAGAAGTTGCCTTTGTTTTTGGTTTCTGCTTTTGAATTTGAGCTTTATTTTGGTTTGAAACCGGCAAAATTAACTCGTTTTGTTGTGCGTCGTAATTATTTTTTGTTGTCTCTTTTTCGGTTTTTTTTTGGGGTTTCACTTTTGCGTTTTGGGTTTTCTTTTTTTAGGCATGTGTCTTAAATTTAACGATTGCAATTAATTACACACCTCGGCATCCATGTTGTTGTTGCTGCTGCTCTTAGGCTTTTTTGTTGTTCTCCCAGAAGTCGGTCAAAAATTAAGCAAAACAAAATAAAAAAAAACAAAAGAAAACACACACGTAATTTGCCTGTTCTTGATCTTAATGATTTATTTTCGTAGCCTGCATTTGGCTACCGATCTACGTGGTTGTCTTTTAATTCTTGAGGATGCGGATGCAGTTCGATTCTGGGCTTTTTTAGCAATTGGCGATCTGTTCACTGTGTGTTAATCGCTCCACGAAAAATTCAAGACTGACGACCGGCGACAATCGTTTGGTTATTCGGACTGGCGACGCGAGTGGGAGTGAGATAGGTGGTTGTACACTTGAGAAAAAATCACCTACTTAATCGACATATTAATAAGAAAACAATTAGTTCTATTTGGTAAAAGAGTTTCTGCTTACACTATCTGTTTCTATTAAAGGTAATCATTTTGAGAAATGAGTTAAAAGCTAATTTGAGTATTTTTTATAATCTCGGAAACGTTTTTTTATTTCAGCAAAATAAAACAAAAACCTTTAAGCATTCCCCAAAATTATATTGCTTTTTTTGAATAGGCTGTTATATATAATTACTTAATCTAAAAACAATATTCACCAAAATATTTTTATCTGAAAATAAAAATATTGGTTATTTTCCAACATAGAGAAAAATTTTGTAACTGAGAAAAAATTTAGTAAATTTAATATATTGAACTACTTGAAAATCTACTTTATTTTTCTGAGTGTAAAAAGTGGGAGAGAGCCTTTCCCTCTACACCACCTCACCCCTCTCGCTCACTTCTTTGCTGGCTTATTACAAAAATATTCAGAAGATGGAGTGCGAAAGAGATGGCTGAACAACAGGTTGTCGATCAGCTGTTTTAATTAAATTACACAGTTCGCATAGCTGGCAACAGGTGGCGCTGCCCCGAGTGAATGAAGTCAATTAATGAATGGAATAAATAAGTAATAAGATAACGACTAAGTGCTTCGCTAATTGGGCGATTGGTGGATTCTAAAGGAAAGATAGCAGGGTAGTTTTAAGTTGCTGACTCAAGACGAATACAAAATTATTTTTCTTTTAATGAAATTGATTGCTGATGTTAATCATGCTTTAAGTATTTTTGCTTATTATACCTGGTTTTCATAAGGAATGGTTCTTAATAATTAGTAAATACCTAAAAATACAAGATCGCCAATCCCCAATTAGGATAAAATACATATGAAATATCAAGAATAATTTATTATAAATAAATGTACTAAAATAAAATATTTATGTTGGCTAGAAAGTTAGTCATCTAGGGTTAATTGGCTGTTTAATTTCTGCTTAATTATAATTGATTTTTATAAAAACTAATTAAAGCAACAGGCCAAGACGGTGAGAGAATATAGAATTTTATTAATGAATGTACACAAGAAAGAATTATGACTTTATACAACAATTATTATTTATTAGGATCAATTGATAACATATACAGAAAAAATTAGTATGCTATTTTTGTTGAGGAATTTGGTTTAAGAATATAAATGGAAATATATGTATATTAAATAATAATTAAGTTTACCCTAGGACTCCTGTTCAAGTGATATTAAATAGCTATGGTTTCTTTGGCTTTGTATATTACAAAATTGACAGCATACATTATTTAACCTGTAACGTAAGCAGTCAGAATTTACATAAGCTTTATTTCCTCCAGTGTAGACCCCTTCCATTGGATTCTATTGCGGGACACACGCTAACTATTTGAGCAGATCGCTCAATTGGAGACAGGCGGCGACCTCAGATCACAAAGAATCGCCAGTTGGACCCGGAGGCCCTGTCCCTGGCCATGAAAACAGATGGACAGCACACCCATGAGTCCATAAACCCATAGACATATGCCTAGCCACCCCACAATATTGAACATTGTCCCCTGATTTGGCATGATTCGCTTTTTCATTGGATGATGCTTGGGTGGATGGATGGGTGGCAATACTATAAAAAGATTCACATTTTGGGTCAGCCGACCCAATGACGAATACTCTCTAGGCAAAACGTGCGGACATCGAAGATCTATATAGTGATACTCTTACTATATATACCCAAGTTTAGCAATACTCAAGGTTCTTGTAAGTTACTTCTTAATATTTTTTTAACAACAAATATAAATTTTATAAATCATAAAAATAAATATTATGTATTAAGTGGATTACTTTTATGCATGTGCATACATTTTTGCAGGTTTAATACTTTTTAAATTTATTTAATTTTATTTTACTTTTGATGTATTTAAGTTAAACATATTTTGTAGGGCATTTGAAGTTCTGTCACCAATTTTTCTTTTTTGAGTACTTTATAATTCTTTCAAAACAAAAAAAAAAGCCTTAATAAAAACGAATAAATTGTATTAGCTAGCAAGATAAAAATGGATTGTTTTCATTAAAATGTCATCGAACTTCAGCTAATGATTTTTTATTATTTTCTGAATGAGCTGCAAAAATATTTGCTCTTTTCGATATTTGTATCAATTTAAGCTGGATTATTTGTTGAGGGTTGAACATTCCATTAGGGCTGAAAATACTTAAGTATTTTAAGATTGTTTTTTATTACTCTAAGGACGGCGAAATTTATGAGAAAACGTGAAAATTTTCCACTATCGCGTGCCAAAATTTTGGGCATTAGCACAACACCCATGAAGCTATTTTTGCGTTTGACATTTTTTGATGAAAAAACATTTGATTTTTTAAATATAATTATACTGTTGAATTTAGTTTAAACGATTATTACATTATTTATTTTTTTTTTATAAAATACAATCGAATGGTAAACATTATAAAATATTTTTTCTTTTTTCTAATGCCTACCGAATTTCCTGTGACTTTCGCTTTCAGCGCCGCACAAAGTCTCTCAACTTCTTAACTCATCTGAAACAGGTAGTTCTGCTTCTGCTTTTGCTATATATAATAGTATGTCTCCATATCTAGACATCTACATATGTGTGTGGTACCGCGGACATGCTTGGCTTCTGTTTAGATCGCCGACTTAAAAGAAAACTTGCAATTAAAAAATGTTGCTTTTATTTTTTTTGTCTTTCCCCTGCAAAGCGGCTTTTGTTAATACTGTTCAGTGGATTATTGTTATTAAAAGTCATACGGACAGTCCCCCTTTTATTCGCTTGAGGCGTTTTCGAAGCGTTTTCGTCAATTGCCGCTGGCTTGAAACTTTAAACGTTTTTTAGTGACGCTCCAGTAAGTACGAATAACCAGAGAATATTATTGTCTTAGTGCTGGTAATTACCCAGTGACAGATAGACATACCTGATTTTAAGGGCGGGGTCACCGCCCTTCGGGGAAAGTCACCAACAACAAGTCAACAAAAAAAATGTCCGCAGAAAATTATGAAAAAAAAAATCAGATTTAATTGGAGAATGCGTAGAAAGTGAAAGATCTGCAGAGTGGGCTGCGGATTTAGACATTGTCACCATATCCGAAATGGAGATCTCGATCTCTTAACTCATCTTGAAACTGATCCAAGTCACTTCGCGCCATTGTCACAGTTTGCGAAAGCGAAATCATGGTCTAAGATTTCCCAGATGAATTAAACCAAACATCTATTAATTCCTCTTGTACGAATTTCAGTGTTATCATTTTTTAAAAATCTATTGATTTAAATATACAATTTTGCATTTAACAGTCCCACATTTGATCAGAATTTATAAGATATTTTCAAATTTGTTTAATCATTTTAACAACATAATTATTGTTTTGTATAAAATATCATTGGGTTGCAAATGATAACATTTTATTAATATTCTGATAATAACATTTATTTCAAGGGTTATTACATTTATTATAGGTTTATTGTCTTAGTCACTCATGATGATTTTTAATGCTCATGATCAATTCTTTTTTTTAATTTTTCTCATTGTGAATTAATATTTTCCCACATACTAATGGTATTTTTCTTTTACTTTGTTGCCTTGTCTGGCCTTTTCATTCCAGTCCAAACTAAGTTGGGTGATGCGATGAGCCTTCGGACTTAATTATCGTCATTGCCAGCAATTTAATGTTGGCTTTTAGAGCCTGAGCCCCGCCCCCTCCTCCGCAGCCACCCGCCTCTGGACAAGTCCGACCTGTTGGCCCACCTCCGGCGCCTGATCCTCCAGAAAGGCAAGAGTAGTGTCGCATAAGTGGGTCACCAGTGCCACAGCCACGCCGCACACTGCATGCCACATACAAATGACCTAGCCGAGATTGCCACCACATGACTGGCTCATCCAATCTGCTGGGATGCGTGCCTCCATAAAGTGGAATCACTTGGGAGACACTGAGCAAAAATCCCTGCTAATTTGGCGATTTTATCCAGTTGGTAAAATCTACAACTATTTTAAAAATATATATATATATATGTAATATATTATGCAATACAGTTATACCATATATTTATTGATTTTATTTTAATTAAATATAAATACTATTAATAAAGGCTACTTTGATGGTTAGAGTATAGTCATGTTCCGAACTGAAATTGTCACAATAATTTTTAATATTTTTTTAAATTTAAATAGTGGGCCAAAAGCTTACTTTGGATATAGTTTAAATAATTTGGTTTTGAAGATATATAGTTCTTAGTTAATTTTTATTAAATTGAAGACAAACAAACTATTAATTGTCTAATAAATTTATATATTTTTTGTGATATGAATTTGTAAAAACGCTCTAAGCAACAGTAGTTATACCCGTTACTCGTAGAGTAAAAGGGTATATTGTATTCGTGCAAAAGTATGTAACAGCTAGAAGGAAGCGTTTCCGACCCTATAAAGTATATATATTCTTGATCAGGATCACTAGCCGAGTCGATCTAGCCATGTCCGTCTGTCCGTCTGTCCGTCTGTCCGTCTGTCTGTCCGTCTGTCTGTCTGTCCGTATGAACGCTGAGATCTCGGAAACTATAAAAGCTAGAAGATTGGCATTTTGCATGTAGATTTTAGAAGTTCCTACGCAGCGCAAGTTTGTTTCAAAATGGTGCCACGCCCCCTTTAACGCCCATAATCGCTTATATACGATTTTAAAAATTTAAATATTTCGGAAAAGTAAAAATGCAGTTTTATTGTGTTTATCAATACCTATCGAAATGTAGAAGAAATTTTTCAAATCGGACCATTCGTTAAAAAGTTATGCGTGATCAAAGTTTCTATCTCCATCTCCCTCGCACTCCCTTTACCTGAGTAACGGGTATCTGATAGTCGGGGCACCCGACTATAGCGTTCTCTCTTGTTTTTGAGTGTGTTAATGCTGAAATATAAGAAACATTAAATTGCGACCTATATAAGACATAACAAATAATCTCCTTAAGAACTACCCATATTTTCTGAGGTCTTTCCTTTTCATATCTCCGACTCCGTAACTTTTCCAGCACTTAACCCATAACCCAGCATCGGTGATTAGATCGGCCATTTGGCATGCCTCGATAACTGTCGCAAGGCCAGTTGAGCGGCAGTTGAAAGTGGATAGCAGATAGCAGATAGCAGATAGAAGCTAGTTGGTGGTTGCAAGTTGGCAGTTGGAAGTTACCAGCGATCTGCGGCCAGAACGTTCGGCGGGTTCAAGTGAGGGGCTCAAAAACCCGAGACTTTTATGTTTAGAGGAGGAGGCAGCGTTAGGGGCCAAAAGCCAAGTGGCCGAAACTGTGATGGCGAAGGGGTCTGAAGACGGGGCTTTCTCCGACCGGCTGAGTTGGGCTCGCGACTTGGGGCTCGTTTCATTTGCCAACCAGCCGCGCAGCCAAACAGTCATCATCATCATCGTGGTCGTGGAGCAGAGGCGAGTGAATAAGACATGGGAATTGAGCTACCCGTTGGGCTCTTCATCGTGATCGCGGTGGATGTCTTGGTCTTGATCGCGGTCCATCCAACCGAGGCCATCGACTTTGGCTATCATCCGAGCGCCGAGGAGTTCGACAGCCTGTTGCGCCAGACCTGGGGTCGTGATCTCCTCCAGCGTCGCGTCCAGGAACGTCGATTCGTGCCGCGCTACCAGCACCAGACCTCCATTCGCTTCGAGCCGCCCGAATTGGATTTCCAGCTGTTCGGCCAGGAGGATCATCAGGATCATCCCTCGCAGCCGTATGTCTTTGAGTCGGTGGAGGAGAGTCAGCCCTCATCCACATCCGACCAGTTTCACGTGCAGAGCGAGCTGCTGGAGATCAAGGAGCCCAGACCCAAGCCGAAACCCATTAGCACAGGCAACGCCACCACGTTTCCCATATACTTCACCCACCCAACCACCGGGATTGTGTACGCCATCAGTCAGGTGGGAGTGGGTCAGAACCCGAGTCCTATAACCACCCAAAGTCGCAACGATAGCAATGGCATTGCCATCTATGTGACCAAGGCCCAATACGATGCCGATCTGGAGAGTCTGCGAAGGCAATATGAACAGCACTGCCAGTCCATGTCATCTGGAACGGTGATATCCACCCTGAATGTGAATCCTGTCCAGGAGGGAGGAACCACCGCCAGACCACAGATCATTCGATTGAAGAAGCCCAAGAATCCACTGACCAAACCCAGTAACAAGTTGCCCAAGCCAAGTCATCGACCACCGCCTGTGATGGTGACCAGTGGACCAATCAACCACGTAAGCGATCAGCTGCTCAAGTTGCCCCACCGTGGCGGCAGCACCACCACCACCACCACCAGCACCACTCCAAGGCCAAATACGAGGAGAAAGAAGCGCAAGAAGAAGCCAAAAAACAAGACTAAAGTGATCAAAAAGAGGCCGGGTTATGGGGGGAATAACACCCGAGATCAGCCGGGACCTTTGCCCATTTATTTGGGTAAGAGACCCAGCACCACCAGCAGCACCACCATGCGACCACCGCCGGCTTATACCCAACTGGAGAAACCACATATGCCACACGCCACTCTACCCACCACCAATGTCTTCAGTCAGCATTTACTGAGAACCGGCGAGGAGCCAACGGAAGAAAGTGAAACACTGGAAGAACAGGAACCATTTGAAATAGTCGAACCAGTACATCTCAGAAGACGCCGTTCGTTGGAAGATTGGGCAGGAGGAAAACATGGAGTTCAACTAATGGAACCACTTCATCAAAAAAGACATTCCACTTTGAAGACTCTGACTAAAATAGGAATATTAAACAGTGCTGTTAATAAATCTAGAAACAAATTCGAAAATCGTGCAGAAGAAGTAGGAGGGCTCAAGAAAGAAGACTCTTATCCCCGACGACAACGTTTTTTAAAGAATCCTAGTAAAGGAGTGGGAAAAATTGGTGGATCTCCCAAAGAAACTGATGCATCTAAAAAATTTCACACCAGACATCGTCGTTCCTTGGAGACTCAAAAAAATGAGGGAACACAAAAGTCTATACCACAAAAATCTTTAGAACAAGTAGAACCACAAAAAGGAGTCATAAAAGAACAACAAAAAGTGGTAGCAAAAGGATCAAAGGTGTCCCAAAAAATATTATCAAAAGGATCACAAAACGCGGTAGCAGCGCGACGGGTGAGTACTCCCAAAAGACGCTCACCCAAAGGAAGTTCCAGGAAGCGAAAAACCAAACAAGAACCACCGCCACAAAGCACCCAAAAGAAAGAGCAGAATACAGGGGGTGTGGGCCACTTACCCATCGCCCTTCATTTGCTCCACAGAAATCACAGCCAGGATGAAAGGAAAGAAGCGCCAAAAACCAACTATAAAAATAAAACCAAGACCAAGGAACGCAAACGAGGAAGACCCGAGTTGCCCAGTTTTGATGTATTCGAACTTCTGTCCGGTGGGGATTACGAGGATGAAGAGGAGGAGGACGATGATGACTACTATTTTGAAGATGGGGAGAAGGATAAGGATAAGCATAAGGATGATCAAGACCCCAATCAAAGTGGCAGCACAGAGGCTCAGAGTGATCTCAAAGAGGATAGCAGTTCGGCGGAGGAGGGCGCTGATTTTGGAGCTATGGTGGAGGAGGAAACGACCACATCTACGATATCCAGCAGCGAGGAAGAGGATGCCACATCGAGCACCAAGAACTCCATGGCCAAGAAGAAGATTCGCATCAAGAGGCGGCCAGTGAACTCGGATGAGGATTACGATGATGACGAGGACTCCGGAATTGGTGGCTTCTTTCGCATGATCTTCTATCCCGTCCAAATGGCCATGTCCCGCCTGATGGATGGCTTTGGCAGTCCCGATGAGGAGGACGATGACAAGGACCCACCCAGTCCACCCGTGTCCAAGTACCCAAGCTACACCCTCTATCACAGTGCCCACAGCAATGAGGCCTATGCCGAACCGGAGGATGAGGATTCGGAGGACGACGACGGTGATGACTCCTCCTCGCTGGGGAGCTGGTTTAGCTCCTGGTTTGGCCTGCAGCGACGCACCAAGAAGATCGGCAGCACCAGCACCACCACCATGGTGCCAGTGGCACAACCACCGCCCACCAAGGAGCCACCCGGCTGGCTGGAGTCCTGGTTTGGATTCGGAAAAACCACCGCGGAGCCGGACGCCGAGGATGACTATGACAGTGAGTACCACCAAAAAGAGGGGAACTAATTTGAAAGGGAAACCATAGTCAGCTTTTTATTTTAGTTGAAAATATAAACGTTCAAATTATTTAAAAATCAAATGAATAAGAGATTGCATTTTGTTTTTTTTTTGCCATTTAAAACAGACTTATAATTAAAACATCCTCACACTTGATTAGTTCTAAAATCCAGAAATGATTTGGCAATTTACTCAAATGTATTTTGTTCTATAATTAGAATTTAATTTCCGTTTACTTCCATCGTTTTCATATTTGCCATAACATCTAATTACTATGCAATTAAAAGAGAACTTTGTAAAATTCTTGTTATTCGAGTGGTTCAGTTAATGGCGAGATTGGCTGAATGAGCAGGAAGATAAAAGGGAAAAGCCAGAACCCCATTGAATGGCTAACGGTGCGGGTTCTCGTTTTCCTTCACGCTTTCTGCACCGCAGTGAAAAACCCACAAAGTCAGAGCCAAAGCCAATATATGACTTTTCCCCCTTCCACAGAATGGTTTTCCAGCTGGTTCGATTCGAGGCCGAAACGAAAGGTCAGACGCCGTTCCACCACCTCAACGTCGACCACCTCAACCACGACGACGACCCACACACCATCGGCGGCGGCCCAAGTGCCCATCCTGACCATTGTGGATCCGCTGAGGAATCCACAGAATTGGATTGGCATACTCGCCCACCACATTGTCAATTCCACCGGCAATGCCATGGCCTCCACAACCACCAGCAATCCGCTGCTCCAGGCGCTGGCCACTCGGATGACGACCAGGGGAACCACTAGCACCTCAACCACCACATCCAGACCGGAGGTTCCCAGGCGCATAAGCTATGACAAGTACCAGATCTGGCGTCTCAAGCCGCAGGATGAGGAGCAGGTGCGCGCACTGGAGGAGTTCAAAAAGGGCGAGGACGGGGTGAAGATGCACTGGCTGAAGGGACCCAGCCTAAGGTTAGTTTTACACCAAATCTTTGTTATACCTGTTTCAATCTTTGTTTTGTAGAGGTCTCACCGATGTCCTGGTGCCCCCCAAGATGCTCGTGGACTTCCAGGGCACTTTGAACTACGAAAGCATCGCGCACGAAGTGCTCATCTTTGATGTGGGCAAGGCCATTGCCTACGAGCTGACCAAAGAGGATTACCTCCACACCACTCGTCCCTCGAAGCCGCGACCCACTACTCCGCCGCCCATGACCTGGAATCGCTACCACAACCACGATGAGATCGTAAAGTATCTGGAGACGATGCGCATGCGCCACCCACAACTGGTCGAGCTCATTCACATTGGTCGCTCCTACGAAGGTCGACCCTTGATTGTGGTGAAGATCGAGTCCAAGCAATCTGCGGCGATGGCGAATAGCGAGGGTCTGCAGACAGTCAAGCGGCCGAAGCGGAAACGGAAGTCAGGCCAGGCCAATGCCGTGTTCGTGGAGGCCGGAGCTCAGGGATTGGCCTGGATCGGACCCGCGACGGCCACCTGGATGATAGCAGAGCTCCTGCGACTGATGAAGACAAACAGTGAGTAGGGGCATTATTTAATCTCCAAGATTTCCTTTTATATACAATTGATAGTGTAATTGAAATAGTTTTTCCCAATCAACAACTATTTTTTTGCCTTCTGTACTTGATAAACTTCTTCAAAGAAACCAACCCCTAGCATTGAACCTTTTAAAAAGTTTATTGAACTTGAAATTTTGATCCAGTATGTGTAGAAGTGGAAGACTCCCGTGACCATAGATCCCCCCTCTCAGTTTCAAGTCAGTTGAATTCATAACTTGCTTTTGGCGCCCAACGTGGGGTAGTGGGTCCTCGCTGGCTATTGCATCATGCGGGCCAACACGTCACGCAGCCAAAGGACAATGGTTGGCGGCTGCTTCATCTCTGTGGGTATGGCATATCGTCTGGAGCTGAGGAAAATGGCCCGACCCTCGCAGTCGGTGTAACGCGGCTTTCGGTGGGAGTGGAGCTCCATTTTGGCACTGCACATCCGACGGCAGCCACCTCCATCGCTCGTTTCCTTCTTGGTTTTGGGCTTATGCGGACAGCTCCTGGCCTTGTGGGCAAAGCTCTTGGGCTTGCTTTTCGCCGTGGATTTGGCAGACCGGTGGAATGGGCATCCACCTTTGGACCTGGAACGAGCGCGATCACGGGCATGGCAGCAGGAACCACTGCTGTTGGTCACCTGTGAAATGGCGAAGGCGACGAGCAGCAGCCCGAACACAATGGCCACCGCCACCTGGACATTGCGCTCGGCGTTCTTCAGGTCCACGAGCAGCTGAACAACGTGGTAGCCCAGAGTAATCCAGAATGTTATGGTGCAAATGGCAAAGAATCTGGGGGTAGAGGGTTATTAGAGATGGGTTATTAGAGACTAGAGTGTTCTTTAGACGATCTCGTTAAGCTAGAGAGATAGAGCACTGTTCTATTCCTTGCAAAGATACTCACACTAGCACGCCGAGGACCTCTAGTAGAAAGGTGATGAAGAAGTTCAACTGGTCACTGCCTAAATCGACGCCAAAGGATCCGCGCTGTCCAGAGGAACCTGATGAAGGTCCATGCCCTGGTCCGGGGCCAGATCCAACTGGCTTATAGCCACCTCCGGCAGGATAAGCTCCGCCAGGATAACCTCCACCAGGATAACCTCCACCAGGATAAGCGGCGCCAGGATAAGCGCCACCAGGTCCACCCCCAGGACCCACTGCCGAGACTTGGACACCGCGAATGGCGCTGTTCAAGGGTGCACCTCCCGATCCCTGGGCCGCTGCCGTTACCGCCGGCAACATGAAGCTACCCGGCTCGATGCCGTGGGCCTCACTGCATCCGGCATCGCAGCCAGTGCCATAGCCACAGTCGTCCTCGCAGGCGGTGCCCAGAGTGCATCGGTTGTGGCCCATGGTGGCGGTGCCCAGGTGGATGGCGAAGCCCAGAGTGTCCCTGCCCGTGTGTCCCGTCACGGACTGATGCTGCTGCTGCTGCGCCCAGGCACCACGGCAGGCTCCGATATCCGGACTACTGCTTGCCCGCTGGTCATCCTCTTCGTAATCATCGTAGGTGGTGCCGGACATCATGCTGCTATTCCTGTTCCGATCGAAGTACGAATTTGCGCCGAAATTAACGCCGCCACCGTTGTCAGTTTCAGCGACATTGGGTCCAAATCGCAGATTGTTCGCAACGGAGGTTGCCCGCGACGAGGTGCTGAAGACCTCCGGCACCTCCACCGATATCCGGGGACTATCCGAATCCCTGGGACCAGCGAACGCAATCAGATGTCCGTGCACCGCCGATCCCCTGGGACTGGCCGACGCCGCGCTGACCATCACCCCGGGCGACACATCCGAGGTCTCCGATTGGCCGGACTCTCGTTCGTCTGTGAATCCCACACCTCCGCTCTCTGGAGTTTCAGTGACTTGCAATCCTCGCGGAGATCTTGTGAGGCGGGAGACCCTGTTAAGACGTCCGCCCAGAAGGGATGTGATGGTGGGTGAGACTCCATTGCCCGTTGGCTGGTTATATGCCACTTCGGGACTAGCCGATGAGGAGCGACTTCCTCTTCCCGAACCCGAAGCATTGGACTTGGGCGTCAAGAGGTGGCGCGAGGACTTGCGGGGCCTTCGCCTCTCCATCGCCAACCACCTGATCCGACTGGAGGACAAGTGGCGAGCTGTGGCTGCCTAAAGTTCTTACACTGCACTCTTGATTTTTGGTTTTCCGAATCGGTTGACTGCCGACTTGACAAAGGGATAACTAATACGACATGAGTTAAGGGGGCGAGGCTACGTAGATCGGTTAAAAAATGTACATTATTTTCACGGGAAACCTTTCCTTTCATTAGCAATAATAATTTTATAAATATAATAGTGCTTTTCGATTTTTGCATAGAGCTCTGGCTCATAAACTATTCATATTTCTTACCCATTTTAAGACTATTTTATGTTTAAGTTTGGAGATCAATATTATTCCTTTATTTATATAAAAAAAACTTCCTATTATATTTTCACATTGACCCTGCCTAAAAACCTATATAAACATTATAATAATATTTTGGGTACCCAACAGAAAGCAACGAGGAAGTGGAGTTCATCAGGAACACCACCTGGTATATAATGCCGGTTCTAAATCCGGACGGATATGCGTACAGCCACGAGTACGATCGGTTTTGGAAGAAGTCGCGATCGCAGCACCAGGCTCCGCCTCCCAGTGGCCTCCTCGACTCGGCGATGACGTGGCTCCAGCAGAAACGCGGCCCGGACAAGGTCTGCTATGGGGTGGATCTGGACAGGAACTGGCTCTACCATTGGGGCAAGCGGGGCAGCTCCAAGGCGCCCTGCAACGAGTTCTACGCAGGTCCGGCGCCATTTTCCGAACCGGAAACCAAGGCCGTCTCCGAATTTCTCATGGACTACAGAACGCAGATTAAGGTATGCCTAGAAAAAGTATACGAAACGATGTATTTACTTTTTGAATAGGGTTCTTTATACATATATTATAAAGAATGAATGAATGATGCTTAGGAAAATCATTTTAGTTTAACAAGATTTTAAGTCTTGACTCCATGAACTTTTGGTTTAAGCCACATTTTTCTCTTTACACATTTTCTATTGAAAATTTTACAAAAAAAAGCTGAGACTTGATTGCAAATTTTGTTACGAATTCAACAAGGTATGCCATTTTATTACTGGAAAATTTTTGGCGTTGTTATCGTAAAAATACTGATATTTTTGACCGAAAAATGGTTAAATCCCAATTTTTTACATATTTCTTGAGGTTTTCATCATGATTTTTCTGGAAAATTTTACAAAAAAAACTGTGAATGCAGTTCGATTGAAAATTTTGTTACGAGTTCAACAAGGTATGCCATTTCAATATTGGACACTTTTAAGCGTTGTTATCGTAAAAATACTGATATTTTTGAGCGAAAAATGGTTAAATCCCAATTTTTTACATATTTCTTGAGGTTTTCATCATGATTTTTCTCGAAAATTTTACAAAAAAAACTGTGAATGCAGTTCAATTGAAAATTTTGTTACGAGTTCAACAAGGTATGCCATTTCAATATTGGACAATTTTTGGCGTTGTTATCGTAAAAATACTGATATTTTTGAGCGAAAAATGGTTCAATCCCAATTCTTTACATATTTCTGGAGGTTTTCATCATGATTTTTCTCGAAAATTTTACAACAAAAACTAAGAATGCAGTTCGATTGGAAATTTTGTTACAAGTTCAACAAGGTATGCCATTTTATTATTGGACAATTTTTGGCGTTGTTATCGTAAAAATACTGATATTTTTGACCGAAAAATGGTTAAATCCCAATTTTTTACATATTTCTTGAGGTTTTCATCATGATTTTTCTGGAAAATTTTACAAAAAAAACTGTGAATGCAGTTCGATTGAAAATTTTGTTACGAGTTCAACAAGGTATGCCATTTCAATATTGGACACTTTTAAGCGTTGTTATCGTAAAAATACTGATATTTTTGAGCGAAAAATGGTTAAATCCCAATTTTTTACATATTTCTTGAGGTTTTCATCATGATTTTTCTCGAAAATTTTACAAAAAAAACTGTGAATGCAACTCGATTGGAAATTTTGTTACGAGTTCAACAAGGTATGCCATTTCAATATTGGACAATTTTTGGCGTTGTTATCGTAAAAATACTGATATTTTTGAGCGAAAAATGGTTAAATCCCAATTTTTTACATATTTCTTGAGGTTTTCATCATGATTTTTCTCGAAAATTTTACAAAAAAAACTGTGAATGCAGTTCAATTGAAAATTTTGTTACGAGTTCAACAAGGTATGCCATTTCAATATTGGACAATTTTTGGCGTTGTTATCGTAAAAATACTGATATTTTTGAGCGAAAAATGGTTCAATCCCAATTCTTTACATATTTCTGGAGGTTTTCATCATGATTTTTCTCGAAAATTTTACAACAAAAACTAAGAATGCAGTTCGATTGGAAATTTTGTTACAAGTTCAACAAGGTATGCCATTTTATTATTGGACAATTTTTGGCGTTGTTATCGTAAAAATACTGATATTTTTGAGCGAAAAATGGTTTAAAATCCAATTTTTCACATATCACATTTTTTTTAACCCCATGGTTTTTTTCAAAAATTTTACAAAAAAATCTGTGACGCCACTCGATTTGAAATTTTGTTACAAATTTAACAAGGTAGGGCATTCCATTATTGGACAAATTTTTGCATTGTTATCGCCAAAATACTGATATATTTAAGAGAAAAATAGTTTAAAATTGTTTATTGTTTATTGAACTGTTTATTGAACTCGCAACGAAGTTCCCAATTATTTGCCATTAAAAAATGTATACATAATTATGTAAAATATGTTCGTCATTCTTTCAGCTATATATATCCCTGCAGGCCTATGGTCAAGTGATTTCGTATCCGGTGAAGGCCAATTCAACTTTTAATTCGGAAAGGTTGGACGATTTTCTGGATGTGGCAATGGTGGGCACCGATGGATTGCGAAAGAAGGGCAGTAAATCCCGATACAAAGTAGACGCATCCAACGATCTTATTGAGCAGCGTTCGGGTGCGTATTATAGTTTATATTATCCAAATACTTTCCTAACTCCGAAAATGTATACCATCTTCTTTTAGTTACAAAATGTATTTACCATTTAAGTTATCCGCTTTCCGAATTCTACTTCTCCTAATCCTTTGTTATCCTTCATTTTTCCAGGCTGTGCCGACGCTTTTGCGGCATACGAAATCGGAATACCCTTCAGCTATACGCTCCAGCTGGCGGACAATGGAGTGCATGGCTATCTGCTGCCCAGCAGCGCCATCGAGCCCACGGCTCGCGATGCCTTCGAGATCGTCAGCGGAATGCTGGACTATATTTAAAGCTCCGATTTAGATCAATCAATACAAATCGGGAGCAGCAGGGATTCGGGGTGGGGCTACATGTGAGAGAGTTCTAGTTCCTTTTATCGCGCTTTGGTGGCTTGCGTTCCGGAGATTACTTGCCACATTTCCGGAATACATTCTCCAATAATATTAGCTTAATCACATATGCATTTTATGTATTCCAAATTTTTTTTTTATTATACAAAAATTTAATGATTTGATATTTTTACTAAGCCTAAAAAATATTATTGTTATATTTATGTATTTATAATTAAATATTATCTCCTTTTTTTTTGGTAGTTGTAATCCTTTTTAGAATAAATAGTGTACTTAAAATAAAGTCTTATATTTGATCGAGCATTCGATTGCGTGGTTTAATTCAACATTTTGCATGGATACCATGTAGTGGAATATTTTCAAAGTTTAGTCTTATTTGCGTTTTGTTGACAGATAAGCACGAATATAGTATTATATTTGCATATAATATATTGTACATTTTGCCTTCATTAAACAGTTTACAGTTTCATCGTCATCATCATCAATATTGTGGCAAGTTATAATTTGTTATATAATGAGCTGATAAACATTTTCTCGACATAACGTTGAGCTACCGATTCGATTTACTTTTTATATGTCTATATTAACATTGGAATTGTTCTCTACAACTGGGGTTATTAATTCTTGGTTCTCTCTAGATTATTAATTAGTGTAAGTTCAGCAGAGGCTAAAACCAACATTTGCAATAACAATTAAACTAAAAATGTTCTAAAAACTGTGGATCCTATTTGGCAGTTTAAAATAAAGTATGTGTCCAAAGGTTCCATTACAAATTAGTGATTTTACATAACTAACATAAATATTTAATTGCATTTTGTTTTCATTTCAAAAATAATAATTTTAAATTTAGCAACTGCTAATTTTTTTTATGAGTAACTTAAATATTTGTCTTTCCTTTAGCTTAATATCGAAGTGCATAAGTCTTTTTCTATTAGTAAGGTATAAAAATACCTTTCAACTTATTACAAACGTTTGTTATTCCAGAAGTAACTTAAAAATTCGACAATCGTTTAGCCTAACAAAAGATTCTATACGGTTACTTGTGAAAAGATATAAAAAAAAAACTTAAGTTCTATGATTTTTTCTTTTAAGAAGCTATTTCTATAACTTTAAAGTTAGCATGGGCCTGTTTTAACATACAAAACTTAAATGTAAGTCTGGCCTTTAACTTAACAAAATCCATGTTTCTATCGTTCGCGAATAGACATTAATATACTTATTGATACAAATGCATGAGTATACAGGTTAGTTTCGGTAAGAAACAAAGATCATCAGACTGTTTTGAGCATTTCGAGAGACAAATCGTGGGTCTCCGGAGCTGGAGACATCAAAATGGAGCTATATAAGGCACTGTGGTGGTTCTGAATCCTGTCCTGCGGTCAGGCGAATCCTTGGGTAGCCAGGATCCTGCTCGAAAGTTTGGCAAAGTTCGTGTGACACTCGTTGCCGTGGAAATAGAGACCGATGAGTAGCTTAAACTGGGCGGGAGACATGGGATACGGTTCCTGCGACATGACCACAATGGTATCGATGGATTTCCCCGCCTTCTGGACGTGCAAGTTGGCCAGAATTTCGCGATAATTGACAAACGAAGCCGAACATTTAGCGATTTGTCGCACCATTTTGTCCGTGGAGCACTGCTGCATCACAGGACGCAATAGAGCATCCAGGACGAGGGATTGCAGATCGAAGACAATCAAATCGGGGTCAAAGGACTCCGCATTGTCCTGCAGCTCCAGCAGCCGATGCGGCGTACTCTCAACGTCCACCAGCTGCAAAAAGGTTAGATACTTGTTGCAATTCTTCGAATCCAATGAATACCGCTTCGCCATTCCCTGCTGACGACTAGTTATCAGCAAAACGCCCTTTTCCTTTGCGGCAAAGCGTTCGCATAGCTATTAAAACACAAAAACACAGAAAAACCGTCTTCATATTGCAACAGCAGGAGGCATTTTTGACTCACCTTTGCCAAATTAAGGGCATAGTCCTCGGTGCCCGTTAAATATATGTAGTTATTTATACAATTGCTTAGATTCATTCCTTGCTAATTCTTAAAAGTAAAGGAATTTAAATTATTTGTTTTTTACGAAAACTAAACGCCAGTGTTACCAACTCTCACTTTGGAAAAGAAGCTACTAGATAGATCCGATAAAAAATGGCTAGATATATATTCCAATTATTCACACTGTTTGTCGGAGTTCTCAAAAATTAATATTTGCGGCTTAGAAAATTGGTTTACAATCTCCATGTTTTTATATTTCATTTAAATAGGTATGTTGACCGAAAATCGGAATATTTCGTGATTAGATGACTCGCCTGTAATGAAAAATTCGAGAGGTCATTAATGAAAATCATATTACATTTTTGGATTTGTAAAAATAACAATATTATTTGAAAAGAACAATGGATGATCAGGTATATTGTGGTATATATAGCGCTATAAACAATTTGCCGAAAATATTAACATTTCGAGCAACTATCGATAGCTTAGTATGGTTATTGTCTTGGATATATAGTGTGTTTTTCCACCTATGTAAGTCGGTTATAACAGTGGTTCTTTTCTTGGTTAACAGTTCTAACAGTTTTTAAACTTCACTCAAAATTGATAGGTTTTTCCAAAAAACTGTCAAAAAGGTTTTAATAAAATCAATCTGGCAAACTCCACATTACCATTTTCGGGGTTGGGTACCTTATTTTTTGGCAAGGATCCTTCTGGAACTATAACTTAGTTTTGGTTTACTCAATATTCAGATAATATGAGATAAAAATTAATTCATAAATAGCCTTTAAAGCGTGCAGATTCAATTAAAAAATAAAACACGAATATTTTTGGAAATTTTCATATTTATTTTTATTAAATACATTTCGTTTGTTTCGTTTGTTGTTACGGTTTCTGTTTGTTAATTTCTTGTTACGTATTCGCTCTGTACTAATTGAATTAATCAGATATTAGGGTGCCGTAGATAGAGAGCGCCTCTAGTTGGAGTACAAGGTTCGGTTAGAGTAAGCCGGTTCGGTTCGGTTCTTCATAATTATAATCATCATCATCCTTATCTTCATCCACAGACCTAAATACATTATTATACACAACAAAACGGAAGCGATCGACACTCAGCCTGATTGCACTACGATTTTCTCGACTGCAAATGTAAACGGTGCCCGAGTGCTGCGATTATCTTGGAATTTTGGTTGATTTATTGGTAGTTGTTTGGTTTGGTTGTTCGTTTGTTTGTTTGTTTGTTTGGTTGGTTCTTTACTGCTACGGAAGCCTCAAAATACATTGCTATGTATGTCATTTATGTATGTGGATTTGCGGTTTCTATGTGAAGTTGAAATCTTAGCTTAGAAATTGTATTGCAAATAAAATCATATCGACTTTTATACATCATATCTGTTGTGTCGTGTTTATATTTCCGTATATTTACAAAAGCCGTTTACAAACTGGCGCAGCTTTCGCCAAATGGATAACTGATTACCGATTCGCTTAACTATGGACAATTCAGGGGGTGTACTTAGAGCTAAATTAGTCAAATCATAGATACATAACCGAGATAAACGTATTCGTATATTGCACTGCATCGGATTGCTTGAGTATTAGAAATTAGGCAACAATCAACATATCGAAAATAAGATAACGTGCTGATATTCGCACGGAGATTCACATACATCTGACTAGAATAATACTTTGGCACACACATATAAACATAACTCTGGGTGAGATACTGGAAATCAGTTGTATTGCTCGGCGGTACGAAGGTGGAACAGAAAACTGCCAGAAACAATAATTAGTTAATTAGCATCCTGCCTGACACTTGCTTCTCTCGGAACTGGAACCAAAAAACCATTGACTGCTCTTTAATATCGTGTATATATATAGATGTATATATAGAAATATAAATAGTAAGTATATATCATTTGTTAGCATTCATAATATATATATATATATATAGTTTGCCCTTCGTTCGCACGCTGCCGCCCCTTAATTAGAAACTAACACTTAAACCGACATTTCATATGCGTTGCTATATCCTTGCCTCGTCCAACCATCCTTACCGATCGATACCCCCTATCCTATTCCATCCCATTCGATTCGATACTTTAACCAAAAGCGCTTTGAGCGTTCTATTTCGCGTACCTCTGACCTACAGCTAAGACAAAAAAAATGACATCGCTCCTTGATAAAGTTAGTTCTCATATATATATATATATATATATATAGATATACATATTTTAGATTTTTTTTGTTCGTTTTCTTCGTTTTGGTAACATAAAATTAATCAACAAATTTTTAGAGTTGCTTGCTAAAACTTTTCTTAGTGTAAACGTGCCCTAAGCGATTGCCCACTGGCCACCGCCAGCCAATGCCGTTCTTTTTCTTTTGCAGTGTAACCAAAAGGATATGAAAGTTATAATGGAGGAATAAATATCTGAATAATCGGCCGATGCTGGGCGGTGAAAGTGGGCGAGTGTGTGTGTGTGTGTGTGTGTGCTACGGAAAGTTGCTTAAGTTTCGACCATACAATCGCTATATGTGGGTGGTGTGCAGTGTGTTCTCTACCGTAAATCTCTAGCCAAACGGAATATGGCGCCCAACGCTATAGTTGCTCCTACTCTGCTGCTCGGTTCGGTGTAAACACATCTAAAAAACGCTGCTCCTGCATCTGTACCACTTAATTTTAGTACCTCTCTAGATCTAGATATAGGTCTAGGTCTAGGTATTTATCCGTATTCGCGGGTCGTGTACTACGTTTTAGCAACTGTCGTCAAGTGCTCTTGTTATCCATATACATACTCGTACATATGCTTGTATATATCGTCTTGCTTGTATATATGCCTTCTATATAAATATCGTTTGTTGTTTTGTAATTTGCTGGTATTGTCTGAATGTGCTACATACTTTTAAACGCTAAACTAGTTCGTGTGTCTGAGTGAGTGGGTGTATTTTCTTGCTCGTTTGCTAGTAGACCGACATACAAAACTCGAGGCCGACAAAAAAAAAAAACATGAAAAAATTGCCATCTTCCTTTTACAACTATCGCATAATATAACTAGTGCATACATGTTCACATAGGTTCCTAAGTCCACTACACGCTATTAATATGTAATTCTGTTTGGTTCGCCCGCTGGATCCTTCTTTTCCTTTGGCTGTTCCTCATGGCGAAGGTTCCTCTAGAGCAGCTGGGCGATGACCGGCTCGATCAGACACATGTGCTCGGCACCGCGCACTGGCAGCCGGTTGAGGCAGAAGTGCCGGATCATCTCCGGCACCGTCTCGAAGGGACGGCTGAACTGGCCCAGGATATACTGGCCGGTCTCGTTGCGCTGGATCCGCATGTGCATAAAGCCCTTGGCGCCCCTAAAATAAAGGATCATTCGTTATTAAAGAAAGGGATCAGGCACTTGTTCACCACCGCACTTACTTCAGGGAGAGCGAGTAGTCCTGCTTGGTGGACTCGCAATTGCGCACCAGAAAGGAACCCTCGGACAACGGACGAAGAGTGGTCTCCGCCTCAACTCGCGTTATAGCGCCATGGTACCAACTGAAAGGTAGAATAGAACGAGCATTGGATTAATATAATGTCAACCATAATGGTTTTTACTCTTAAGCCCCTAATATCCCCAAGTGAAAGTACTAAACAACAAAGTCAGCTCATAAAATTTAAAAAAACCTAATCTCGTAAAAACAAATTTTTCGGAAACTATTAATAAAATTCTTGATATATCCAACAGTTGAGCTAAATGTCTTACTTAATTGTACTAGAGTTCAAAGTGAAGATCTTAAAAAACTTATATTCAGTTGCTCAAGCTAGAAAGACCCTAAATTTAAACAACTTACCCCTGGCGCTCCAGTGGAATGGTGACATCGATCAAGTCCACTGCGGTGACGTAGCCCTGGCTGAGGTTCATGTTCAGCTCCTTGTTGCTGTTGAGACCCCGCAGATCCAGACTGCCAAACTGTTTGGTGGCCTGCCGCGACTCGTTCAAGTTGAGGGTGAGGTTCTGGCGGAAAAGTGCTGTATCTGGGGTTGGAAAAACAAGTTAGTGGTTATATTAATTTATATATACAGGAATAAGCCTAGGCCAACTCACCCAGCTTGCTGGCCAACTTCTGATCGTCACGCATCGAGTGACTGGAGGAGGCCTGCGAGATGCCGCTGGACTCGGTGCTGTGCATCAGCAGGTTGTTGATCTCCGCCTGGTTGGCACGGAGGCGGCGTCGCAGCTTGGGCATGTCGAAGGGCAGCTCGCCGAGGTCCACGGATGTGGCACTGCCCGAGGTGCAGGCCGCCTCCTGTTGCAGCGTCTTGCGGCGTCGCAGTTTGGGCATATCGAAGGGTAGATCCCGCAGATCCTGCGGCATTCCCGCCGATCCCCCACCAGCAGCTCCTGACCCGGACCCGGACCCAGATCCCGATGCCGACACCCCTGCCGAACTGCCGCCACCCGTTGCTGAGGTTCCACCCGTCCCGGAAGCTCCTCCCTCGGCTCCGATCAACTGCAGCTTGGGCAGCGTTAAACGCTGCAGGGCCAATGTCTGCGGCTTGCCCTCCTCGCGGGAATGCAGGGATATGCCACTGTCCGAGCCCAGGAGTTCATCGGCCAACTGGAGCAGTGCCTTGTTGGGGGCACCAGCACTCCGCGCACTGCGCGGCTGCTTCAAGGAGACGGTGTTCACCTGGAGTGTGGCGCTCGGCGCTGGGGCGCCACTCGAATCCTCCTCCTGCGCCGCCATCGGCGCCAGCTGGGACGGCTGCTGCGACTGCTCCGAGGCACTGGCCGAGGCCGGCTCCTGCGAGGACTTGTCGGAGATGGGACTGAGGATGTGCAGCTTGGAGTGCAACAGCAGGGGCGCCGGTCGCAGGGGATAGGCCACGCTGGAGCCACCGCTGCCGCCGCTGCCCGACTCCGAGCTGTGCGAGCTCAGCGAACTGGAGTGGCGCGACTCGGAGCTGGAGGTGCTGCGATTGCCCTCGCTGGTGCTGGACCGCAGCGACTCCATGCTGCCGCCACTGCTCGAGGTGGCGATGCTCTCCGTGCTGCTGTAGTTGTGCCCCCCAGCCGTTTGTCCCGCACCCTGGCGATGACTCCGCCGACTGCCCGGGCCGTGATGGTGATGATGGTGGTGATGGTGCGTCGTCGACTGACCGCCCGCCTGGTGCTGTTGCTGCTGCTGATAGTGATGGTGGCCCTGGGCACTGCGTCGCAGTTCGAGTACCCTTCCCGATTCCAGGACAAAGGAGCGTGGCCTCCGGGCAGCCGCAGTGGCCGATCCTGTCGCCGAGGCGGAGACGGAGGCGGATGCGGAGACCGAAGCGGAGGCCGAACCCGAGGCCGCATTCGAATTCGAGTTGGTCGAGGGCGGATTCACGTAGGCGCTGTCGGTGAGACTGTTGTCGTTGCTGCTGCCGCCGCACTGGTGCCGCATGGACGGGATGGGCAGGCGGAGATCCCGGAGACGGGGATGCGCTGGATTGGCGGCGGGCAGATTGGGGGCACTCCGGATGCTGTTCATGTTCAGGTAGCGCTCGTGCTTGCCGGGAAACTTCATCGGCAGCGGCGCCGTCGAGGGGGGTGATGGGGTATAGCCGCGCACCGGCAGCTGCTGAGTGCTGGACGCACTTACTCCACTGCCTGTCGCAGCACCTGGCTGTTGGCCCTGATTCTGATTCTGCTGGTCCACCTGGCTGAGCTGGAGCTTGCCCAGTTCGGCCTGCACCTGATGCACCTGGACGTGGGCCTCGCCCGTTTGCTCCTGCAGCGCTTGATTCTTCGAGTTCTTGGCCCTCTTGCACTCTGCCCGCGTCTTGGAGGAGCCGGTGACCTTGGCGAGATCACCGCCATTGCCATTGCCATTGCTCAACTGGAGCAGCACCGAGCAGTTGGTGATGCGATCCACCTCGTCCAGATCGTCATCCGACTTGGCTATCTTGCAGTCGAAGGCCGTCTCGTAGATCTGCCGTCGCCGGCTGCCCATGATGTCCTCGGAGTCGTCCTCTTCGTCCTCTTCGTCGTCGTCCTCGTCGCCGTCCACTTCGTCCTCGTCGTCGCCGTAGAGATCGAGCGATGGATTGCTCAGCGCCGCCGGTTGACCAGTCGCTGACTGGACTGACTGGGATGACTGTGCTGACTGGACTGACTGGGCTGGCGGGGCGCACTCGGCGCACTCGTGGACGCCATGCGGATGCACGTAGAAGATGCTGCGCGGCCGGAAGTACTCCTCCTCCAGATCATCGCCGGGCTCGCTGCCCCGTCCGCCGGCCAAGGAGGAGGAGGCAGGAGCGGATGTGATGCAGGCTCCGCACACGGCTGCTGGTCCCAGCAGGCGGTGCGGTGGCATCGGCTGGACCTGCACCTGCACACAGAACACAAATTACAATCAATTTCGAACTGAAATCCACATTTAATGTAGTAAGCAATCATTTCCAATCATTTTAATTTAATTAGCAACTTTAATTACTTTAAATGTTCCTACATTGTTAAACCGAAAGAGAGTAATATTTGTAGTTGCACCAAAAGATATTTAAGAAAAATCAACGGGCTACTAAATTTATTACACATAATGGCTATCCAAAACCTAAACATTGTATGATGACATAGTGAATATACTGCTTAAATTAAGAAGAAAGTTTAACCAAGTCACAGATCTAAGCTAAAAAGCTAAGGATTTGATATATTTAAACATTTTATTAAAAATATATTTTATTTTCTTATTAACAAGCTAATTTTAATACTTTTATGAAGGCAATTAAACAACAATTGAGCATTACTTAAAAATTTTCCTTTTGTTTAGCTACTGTGGTTACTATACACTTTTAGTAATTTAAATTGTATTATGTATTATATTTTCTAGTTATTTTAAGTTAGCAGGTGCAGAAAAAATAAACCCATCTGGGTCGCAACACCCTGGCTCTAAGTTTATTTAGACTAAATAAAATGGCGCCCATCGTGGGGCCTCTACTCCCACTGCTGACTTACAGTTTGAACTGTATTATTTCTGCGTGACTCACCTGGATCTCCGCTGGAGCCGGTGGCGGTGGGCAGCACTTGAGCAGTTCGCCCTCGCCGGCGTCGCAGTGTTGTAGCTGCAACTGGAGCTCGCTGCCAGTGGGATTCTGACTCTGACTCTGACTTTGGTTCTGATTCTGGTTCCTGGGCTGGACGTTGCAGGTCTTGCGGACCAAGGCCAAAGCTCGGGCGTGCCACTCGCGTCGCTTCAAGCACTCACTGCAATCGGACTCCTCGGAGGTGCTGGTGCTGGGCGTCTCGCAGCGAATGATGTGCACACCCTCCTCCGTGAAACTGTACCGCTTGGGCGTCGACTGCGAGTCCTGTCCCGTCCGGGGATCCTCCTCTTCGTGGCTCTCTGCTTCCGGCTGCTCCTCCGCCGGCGGCACATCCAAGCTGGAGCTCTTGCGATAGCCACCTAATTGACTCGGCGTTTGTTGTGGCGGTTCACTGGCCGTCGACTGGCGGCATTTAAGCTTAAAGTCCTCCCTGTCCTTGTCGCGATCCTTGTCCTTGTCCTTATCCTTGTCCTTGTCGCGACTTTTGAGCAGATCGGAGTAGTAGTAGGGCGAGGGCTGGCGCTTGTTGTGCTCCGCCGGAGCGACGGTCAGTTTGCGGGGACTGCGCTGAAGTTGCGGTGGCAGCGGTCGCACCAGGTCATCGGATATGGAGTCCGGGGAGTTAAGACCCGCCGCTGTCAAAGGAGCGGTTGGGGCAGGAGCCTGCGGCACGGGAAGCGGCTGCTGCTCAACCTCCTCGTCTATGTCCGCCTCGTCGTCGGAGGATTTGGGCGCCGAAGAGTCTGGAAATGGTCACAGAACAGGTAAGATTACTGCATTTTTAACTTAAAAACAAAAGGGAACTTATCAAACAAACAAAACAGCCAATAAATGTTACTAAACATTTGTCAAAATCTAATATTTAAGGTGTAATAATAACATATTGAACTAATATTTCAAATCGAGAAAGCTAATTGCAAGTTAATTAAACAAAGAACTCAACGGATTAATGTTTTTTGAGTGTCACATAACATTGTAAGCCCAATTATCTTACTCTATATAAAATCTAGTTTTAATTTAATTAAGAGGCGCATGTTCTTTGATTTGAAGTCTTATGAAAAAAAGAACAACGTCTGGTTAATTTTGGGTGGAGTGTATAATTGCTCCGGGCACAGACGGCGCTGACAGTTTCTAATTAAGTCGCAGCGACGACACTGCGGCGCCGTGGGCCACACAATCGGAACGCAAATGGAGTTGACGCAGTCTATTTGGCGCTTGGCTGCCCGTTGCTCCTTTATCTCCGCCCCCACAGGATCGCAAGGAACCGCCTCCCTGTCTTCCTGCAGTTTTCCCCCTTTTTTTTGCACTCCTTAATCAGAGCCTGCCATTTTCCATTTTACGCTTGGATAATCGAAGTCGGCGCAGCGGGAAAAGTTGTCCCGCCTTCGGCATTTCCTAATTGCTGGCCAATTGCAACAGGATAGTAGAAATCTCTGGACCATGAATGCCTAATGAACTTCAGCTTAATTTCATTAAATTATTGATTTAAAGTGGCTTTCTTCTACTTTTACTATGTAACTTTGTGAAAACTAGAGTGCTGGTTAGTTGTAATATTTCTAGACTTTCTACTTCTTTCTCAATTTAGCACAGTATAAAAGCTGTACTTTTTATTTTAATATATAATCTGCTTTTCAATAATTCTCTGAATTTAATTATTCGTATTTATTTTGGAAATTAAGTTGCAGAGGTGCGTTTACCGATTTAATTGGATTCATTTGCAATTTATTTGCGTACTGTTGATGATTGCTGATTGAAGTTGTTATTTTTAACATTTGCTAACAAGAGCATTGTATGTTGCTTTTGCTGTTTACAAATTGCTGGCATATCTAAATTTAAAATAATATTAAAGTTGTATGAAAGGTAAAAAATACCATTAAAAATAGATAACCTTTTCTAAACCCCACTACAATCTCAGTATATTCTGCTTGTCATCTAAAAATAATTTATTTATAAATAGCTATAAATGACTTTAGTTTTATTCATAAATCAATTGATAATATTTAATACAAACATTATTAATAGATATTCATGAAATTTACTGTGACAACCAAATTAATATTATAGATTCACTTTAATTGTGACACTGCTAATTTCTTTTTTGTTGCCTATGTGTTGCTACTGTTTTAGTTTGGCCTTGTGCAATATAAATGCTAATTGCAATTATGATTTTTATCAGCAATGTGCATTAAGCTGACGTACCTGAATTATATTGGCTATTCCGTTTATCTTTTCTTAGGTTTCCGTTATTGTTGTTGTAGGTGGAATGTCGCTGCTGCAATTGTTGCTGCTGCTGCTGTTGCTGTTGGGAACTTCTGGGCGTTGGCAATGTATGTTGCTGCTGCAACTGCAACTGTTGCTGTTGCTGATGGCGCTTGTGGCCAGGAGCCGAGCGTTTCTTGGCCTTTTTGTGGTAAACCTTCTTGTGATTGCGCGTATCCTTCGGATCTGAATATCCTTCGATCAGCTTCACCGAAGCCTGCTTGATGTTGCTATTTGGCAGCGGCGGATGTTGCAATGTTGCACGCTGCTGTTGATGTTGATGCTGCTGCTGTTGCTGTTGTGCCCCCACTGGCAATGTGTTGTTGTTGTTGTTGTGCGTATTCTGTTGGCTGTGTGTGTTGCTGCCGTTGTTGTTGTTGTTGCTGCTCAAATGCTGATGTTGCTGGTGGGTGGCCAAAATCGCAGCTGTTGCTGCTGCTGCTGCCGTTGCCGCCTGACTGGGCAATGTTGCCACGGGGGCGGGCAGCGGGGGCGGTAGTTGAGGTGCTGCTGTTGCGTTTGCGGCCGCCGCTGCTGCTGCTGCTGATGTTGTTGCTGCTGCTGCTGCTGTTGCTGCTGTTGCTGGTAGCTGCAACGCTTGTTGGGCTTCGCCAAATGGCAGCTGCTTTTACACACAACAAACGGAAAGAAAAGAAAGGGAAGGGGCATTAGCATTTGTTAGAGGCTAATTTGATTTGCAATTCAATTTCCAATTTGTTTGGCATTTAATTGAAAAGAATAAAGGCGGCCAGCGTTGAGGAATGTGCGTGGCCAACTCGTTTGCTGCGGTTGTTGGGTTTCCCTGGTCAGTAAAACCACCAGCCGCTGCCAAACCGCCAATCGAATCATGCCTCCCCAAAAAGTATGCAACATTTTGTAAGCCGCTTTTTCATTCAGATTCGGTGGCGTATACGTAACATCTGTGACTTTTTCAAATTGAAAAGCTTTGTGAACTTCAAATCTAGGACTAACAACGTATTTTGTTTTATTTTTTTTTATTTTTTAGGGATTTTTTTTGTAATCTACATAAATCTTTCAGCAGAATTCAAGCAAGCGAATACATTTCTGTCAATAAAGTCGTATGTACTCATTATTAAAATTCTGTTCTATATTAAAATCTTTTTAAATAATACATTAAGCATTCTTATTTTTTGAAAACCTTTATAAAATGAAAACGATGACCATAATGTTTCCAGCTAAAGCAAAGAAACAAAGCAGCCGTATTCCCCTCGATTTGACTCGATGCATCTGCCATTTGTCTGGATATTGTTCCCCCATGATGGATGGATTTCAATTCCCATTTGCCATTTCCTACTGCCCATCATCTCAGTTTGTTCATAACAATTCCATGTCAATCACAATATCCGTTCCTTCTTCTTTGCGATGTACTCCTCTCGATCCACATCCGCTGAGTTTGACAAATAGCTAAGCATTACGGATGAACTGCAACATCGGTGACATTAACAGGATCCTAATGCGTGCAAATTATGAGGCTCGACCACCTCTGTGTTTCCCTCCCCCAGATTCCATTCCTGGCCATTATGTTAAACATAAATTTCCGTTTACATGGCCCATGTCCACTTCGAAGTTGCCCTGTGGTTGGGTATCCTGAGTGTCCTGGCTGGACACGTTGCTAACGGAAATTGATGTTTGGCCACTGGCGGAAACAGCGCTGACAACTCTGCCCCAGGGTTGCCATTGTTCGCCAGAAACTGCAGCTGCACTCGGAATAAGAGCACTTTTAATTGAAACTCATAAATTAAGAGTGAAGTGGGCGCGGGGGTAGGTGAATCAAAAACATTTTTAATGAATTTGAACTTGATACCGAATGCTGCCCAACTCCCTCCTTTATTTCATTTTACGAAGCCCCCGAACAAAAAACGGGGTTTCCAAGGCAGATTGTTAATGGGGTTGTATGCCCGTTAACCGGGGAAGCTGCTGAAAGAGCAAAAGAAAGGGTCTTCACCCACCGAGAGTGAAGCCATCCATTCACATATTCCTGTTTAAATATTTGCCTTTGATTATCCACAAGCGATATAAGCAGACATTTATGTGCGGCCACATATATACACACATATAGTATATCCTCATGCACGATTGCCCCCACAAATCGGCGGGGAATGGGGGTTTCTACAATAATGAAAACTGTTGGAATCCATCCACCTCCTGTTCCGATTCCACTTGTCTGCTCTTGTTGCCGCAGCAACGTGATTTCTTGTGCCAACTTTAATGAAAAAAGAAATCAACGGAATGCTAGGAGTTTGGGTTTCCTGTCTGTCTATGTCACATCTTTACCATTCCCATTGTTTAGCGACTAATTCTGATGACGAGCTATATTCTCCGGTTGGACATCCCTTAGCCATTTAACGAACAGAAGTTTCCATAGGTAATCTCCACTGAGAAATAAAATAAACAACTAAAATTGGCTATTTGAAGGCGGTTAATAAAAGGATCTCTTTTCTGTTATTTTATGAATACATAACATGCGGATTTTATGGATGCACTTTCAGTACCTTTAAACCGCAATAACGTAACGATTATAATTTTAATTGAAATTTGACAAAAGACTTGTATATAAATAATTATTTATCCCATTAATATTCAACATTTTCCAATCGGCCATTAACGTTTTCCAGTGCAACCTGTGACTACTTTTACAGGACATGCAATGGAATTCAACCTCTCCAGAGCAGACAACGTGGCGTATGAGTGATATCTAAGCTTACGCTGGTCTCTACGTTCTTCTCGGCTGTTTTATTTTGTTTGCGGGGCAGGGAGGTGGAAAAAAGAATATATATGGTATAAAATAAACCATAGCCAAGTTATTGAAATAAACAAAAAGCACGCACACACAGGACACACACGTGTCCCGACTGCGGCCTTTTGTGTTTGTGAGTTATCGTTGAATATTACTCCACGGAGAGTAATAGCAACAAATGCAAAAGCCAAACGAATTTCTTCCCTTTCCCGCCATTATATCGCTCCTGTTTTACAGAGCCCACTTCACAGCCAGACGCTCCACATATATCGAAAAATGTCGCGTTCGCTCGTTTCCATTAAAACGTGAGTTGCCACCGAAAAAAACAAAAAAAACAATGGCCAAAACACACACACACACTTGTTTGGTGAAAGCTATTATGGCATCATCACATAGATGTTGCTACACTAAAAATAAATATATTTAAGTGTTTAAATTAGGTTTCCTTAAACTATGGTTACTATTATTATTTCAAGTTAATTTCAAAACCTTTATAAACCTTTGCCTTTAAAATTATTAACTTTTAAAAATTATGCGTTCGAACTTTAAAAAGATAAATAAAATTTAACAAATGCAAATTTAAATTAAGTGTACTTTGTTTTTAATGCCATTTTGCCAATATTTGAGGCCATTTTTTGTTTGAGTGTAATTCTCTTTCTGCCTCGGTTTCTTTCCAAGTTCCGTCTCTTTCTTTCCACAGTTTATGCCAAACAAAAGTCATAAGATAAAATTACATTAATAATTGTGAGGATGCTCACACGCACACGAAAACACTCACACATATTAATATGCAGCATGAAAAACTCAGAGAAAAAGAGAGGGATGCAGAGAGAGGGAAAGAGACGGCCATAAAGAAAAACGAGCATCGAATGGCGCTAAACGTTATCGCTTTGGGCCATTTGCTGCCTGGGTATTTTTTTTGGGAAGGAGATCGGACAGTGAGGATTATGCAACAAAATAAGGAAAAGATAAGGAAAATGGAGGTGGAGAGATTATACAAACAAAACAGCTATAAGAATCTAATTAGCTGGAATCTTTTCATTCAATATTTTTTTCATTCTGATATTTTTATTCATTCTGATATTTTCAAGTATTATTTAAAAAAGACTCTTTAGATTTTGGTATACCCTTGCAGAGGGCGATAAATTCAATACTGAATGAAATATTTCTACCCTATATTTTCTTGATCTTCGAGTTGATACAGCCATGTCCGTCATTTAAACATTATAAGCATTTTTTAAGAGTTTTTGGCTTTAAAAAATAAAATAAAAAGGCGCATGGCCAAAAGAATGATTATTTTGTGCAGCTGAGAACCTGTACTATAAATTCCGGGTTGATTTAGAAGTACAAAAAAAATAAAATGAGAGAAAAACAATTCAATAAGCAATAAGTCACAGACGAATATTTAAGTAAAGAATATTAATCTTTGAAATAATATTTGCGCCAATTGATTACTGTAAGAGCATAGATTGTTGTTTATGTTAGCTAATGGCCCTCTTTTTGGGAATATATCCGTTCCACCCCCTGCTTTCTTAAAGATTGAATCCTTGGCACTGATTTAGCCACTCCACCCTCGGGATTGTTTCAATCTGCAGAAGCTTGCTGAAGGTCGTTGCCGCAAATCTTATTTCGCATGGCCCCATCCATTCACCATTTCCCATTTGCCTTTGGCAGCACATCGCATTCCTCGCCGGGCTAAACAAATTTCAATAAAATGAATTTCAAGTGGCAAGGATGCCGGCTCCTTGGTTCTGTTGTTTCGTTTTCGAAACTCTGTTTTATGTGTGCGCCTCATGCGGCTTTCCTTTTCATTTTTAGTGGCAATATGCAAAGGGAACAAAACACGAAATATTTCCGTATGGACCATAAAAAAGCGACGCACCCCCCTTGGGTGTTTTGGTTTCTGGGGTTGCAGGCGGGGCGGGGTGGTTTCAGAGGTCGGAGGCTCGGCGATTTTTTGGTTTTTGGGGCATCATTTGATTTGTGGCACGTCGCATTTGCTGCAGCCTGAGGTTATCTCTCACTCTATCTCAGCGGCTTTTCTATACATTCCTCCTCTTCCTGTTTTTGCAACGGTGTTGCGAATTTATTTGGCAAAAATAAGCTAAATATATAGCGCAGAATGATAAAATGCCAATTAAAAGAAACTATAAACTATACTTCTTTGTGGCATGTCTTATCAAAACTTTGTTTAAAGATTTTCATGATTCTAAAAATTGTTTTTGAAAGTAGAATTTAATCTATCAACTCGTTATAGTATTTCATTAGTTTTTATATTTTGTATTTGAGTAAAAATGTTTGGTTCAACGGTTTCTAAGCGTTTCCAAAAAGTTTACATAATTAGGTGTTATAAATTTCTTTATATTTTGATAATTCAACTCTAAATCTGGCTAAAAAACAGCCAATTTGGCAGCAAAGCTTGGCTATTTTCCTATCTCTGTGTCCATTTTTTATGGCCAGCCACCGCCCGCTGGGCAGCTTTGTTTGTTTGTCGTTTTGCCCCGCCTCCTCCTTTTGTTTGTTTCGCTTATTTTTCGCCTTTTGCCTTGGCTTTCCTGTATTTTTTTTGTATTATTTTGTTTTTGTATTTTTTTTTGCAATATTTAGCCAATAGTCCGTGCATTGTTTGAGCAGCGCTTTGTTTGTTCGCCTGCTGCTGCAGGATAAGCCAAAAGGAGCAGGACCAGAAAATGGGGGACATTGGGGAGGAGTGAGCTTTTCATTAACGCACTGCTGATGCGGCTGACGTTGATGCGACTTGTCCAAAAACCCATTCCACCACTCGATTCGCTGGAGCGTGCAGTTTATCAATTAGCTGTCCAGAGCAGTTAATTGGCCCACCAATACCCAACCATCTGACCACCCAACCACCCAACTACCCATACCCATCCCCATCCCGCATCCCACTTAACGACCAAGGACTTACAAACTCGGTTTGCGGACTGGGGGCAATCCAGTGCTCGGGATTCGCTGGTATCGCCTCCGCCAGGCACGGATCGAAGCTGGACGGTCGTTTTTTAACAAAGTCTACGGGCAGGCTGTAATCATCACAGATGGCAATCTGGAATGGCAATACAAAGAGGGATAAGCACAATTAGTATGAGATGGAAAAAGGCGAGATAGAACCCCCACACAATTATTGCTAAAAATAACGTTCGCATTGATTGCTAAAAATATAAATTGACCTCTGTGAATTCAGCCTACTTACATAACTAGTTTTAATAACCTTTTTGCAGTAACGATATGCTTAAATGAAACTTATTCTTAATGAAATATATTCCTACAAATATAAAATACTATTATAGGTTCATGAATTTGATTTATGTTACCTCAACTTGTTAATGTTCTTATAAAGAGGCATAAATCAGATTTTGAATAAAAAATGTTAACCAATATCGCATATGTTACTCAACACTCTTGACTAAGCTCACAAATTGGCAGCAAAACAATAAACCATATATATAGATCAATTTCTTTGCATTTTTCAAAGTCTAAAAATAAATGTTTGATGGGTTACGCCTCTGCACATATGCATACCCTTGAACTGAATGAAAGGCGGTTATTAAAAAAAAAGCGAATGCCAGCGGGGGAAAAACAATAACGAACGCCACGACACGTGCACCTCAAGTGTGTGGACCTCCACCCCCCCTCCCTATCTTTCTTTTTTTTTGCGCCCCATTTCCAACCCCACCCACTATCTTTTGCACCCAAAAGCAGACTCTTGCCATTTGGCTGAACGTCTGCGTCATCAAAAGTGTACAACAATGGCTAAATTACAGTTACAATTAAAAATGGCGACGATGCTTTTCCAGCTGGTTCTTTTGTTGTCCTGCCCACTTTTTGCACCAGGTAAGGATCCGGGTCCAGATGATGCAAATGTACAAAGCTTTGTTGCTGTTGATACTGAAGGAAAAGTCTTGAGTATTGCAATTAACGTTAAGTGGTGGAGGGGGGTGGACTCTATATAGCTATACTGCTATATAACGGGGTGAGCAGGGGGAAAAAAAGGAAAAGGAAGAGCAGCAAAGCCGGCTTAGCAGCTGATGGAAACGAATCGAGATAGATTAAAGCTGGCAACAAATTACCGGCTCAAGCCCAACTTATTTTGGTTACTTTACAGGATTCTCCTTAAAAATCCATTAAGTGCAGCAAGTGGCTAAGAATTGGGAGGGGTGTTACGCCACACAGCAAAGCTTTTGCCTTGAGTCTTACATTTTTGTGAGTCATCTGAGTCAAGGTAAGATTACTCAAGATTATAAAATTAAGTTCCATACAAAAGCACTTCCTAAAGTACAGTTGCCAAAATTCTTATAAATTTAATTACAGAGAATAACCCTCTAGTTACTTTTCTATGTAGCACAAAACAAGTACAGTTGACCACAAAAAAAGTACAGTTAACCACAAAAGCAAGGTACAGTTGTCACACCTAATATTTAAACGACTTCAAGCCTGGACTAACGACTTATTGCATTACCACCTGCGTTTAAGTTAATTTTGTTAATGCTCTTAAGATTATCTTATCCCATGGAGCAATCAGAAAACAAAACATAATTTAATTGCTTGCTGGGGGAACTTGGCACAAGGTCAAAAGAGCTAACAGAACTCAGACACAAGCCATAAATTCAATCAGAGAAGAAAGTTTCTTGGGTAGCCAAGCAAATGCGACGTAAATCCCCGGTCTGGACCCTCGAGCACCTGCATCTGTGGGCTGTCGAGCTTCACTTATAGCTACCTCGAAGTACACTTGCAGGCGATAAAGTTGACGACAAGTACGGCAATACCATTCCAGACCGGAAAAGTAACCGCCACCGTTAGCCAGGACCTGCGCCACATCCCTGGCGACATCGACATCCAAATCGACATCGAGGCAATCGCGGTGGAAGCTATGGCCACAGGGACCCGCGCACTCCACCACCGGCTCGTCGACATTAAAATCAATCCAGCAGAGACGACAGAACATGTTGCCAATCAGCGACGACGTCGACAACACTTAAGAGAATTACAAAACAAAAAAAAGTAAAAACGGATACCGAAACTGAAACCGAGCGTCTCAGGTGTTGACATGCGAACGCCGTACACCGAAATGAAATAAATTTTGCGTAGCACTGGGTGAACTGTGGACCAGTCGTTTTGTCCACGAGATGAAAGGCCAACTATGGCCAACTTTTTCGCCCAGATGATGTTGTCGGTAATGTCCCGGGGCCATGATGCGCAATTGAAAGGCCAATGAAGGAGGAGGAAAGTCCTAGTTATGGCATCTTGTCTGGTTAGTGCACCATATATATGTCTGACTCTCGAGGTGTTAACATCGTCTGACATGGGTCGCTTGGGCCATGGAATCTATACGTCTGGGAGCACTAATGGCCAAATGGTTTAGATAGTTTACGAGGCATTTTAAATTCATTCTATGAAGATAACCAAAATAGCTGTAGTAATGCTTTTAAAATGAATAGGCAAGTATTCAAAATAAACCTTTACTAATAATTACTATATGATTTATTTCTTATAATCTTTGTTATTAGTATTAATATATTTATCAACACTTTCAAAACTTTAAAATCATTGAAATAAAAGAGTAGTGCAGTACATAATCCCTAGGAATATATTGTATAAATACATTTCTGTACCACCCAGTTAAATTCACTTTATAATAAACCCTTGAAGAAGCCTCAAATGTAAAACACTGTCCTGTGAGTGCTGGCAAAGCCACAGATGTGGTGTAAAATTGGCTGCCCCATCCGTTGCTGCAGTGAAAGTTGTGTGGCTCCGTCTTCGAGGGAAACCAGCTGGCTGGATGGCAGAAGAGCCCACCAACGACAAAAGGCGATGGCGATGACTCATTGGCTTGGCCAACATCGTCGTGATTGCCACTTTGGCTCACGGCTCACGGGTCTTTGAGCCAAATGCGAAATACGAAATACGAAATACGAAATGCAGAATGTAAACGTGCACCCACCCACTGCAGATGGGAATGGAAATGGAGGACGGTCTTGGGCTGCCGCTGCCGCTGCCTCATTGCCTCTGTCTGGTTGAGTAAATATCATAAATTTTAAAGGCGGCATTAATGCGCTCGTTCCGCACAAGAGTTGCAGGTAAAAAAAGAACAAAAACAAAACCAAAGCTGCAAGGCTGCCAGCCATTTTCGGTGTCGCCTCCTTTTTTCCTGCATAACCGCAGGCACTTTGGCACTGGGCCCACTGCAACGAGTCCTGGCCACATGTTGCCCTTGTCTCCTCCAAACTGGCTTTTGTGTGACACATTTTGGCCGCTCAGGAAATGATGGCTCGGTTCTTGGGTCTTTTGCCTCTTTTCAGCTGGCATATTGCGGAGATTGCGTTGCCACAAACAGAAATCTTGTGCATCTTGTGGCATTCTCTGTCCTCTATCCTCTATACCCCATTCTTGGGTTTTGTGCTGGCTTTGATTTTTATTAAAATGACACCGACAGGTAACAAAAGTGCCGCTGGTGGTGGGTGTCTCAAATGCAATGGCATTTTGTGTCCATATTGCTCTGGTGACCTCAAAGCTTTTTACTGAATAAATGGCTAGATTTGCAGTGGCAAGCCAGTCAGTCAGTTAAATGGTGACCATTATGGGGTTTGTGGACAGTCAAATCCCGTTTGGTTTAGTAACACTCTTTTCTTTCATATCTTTATCTTTTCATTTAAAATTAAGACTTATGATTACAAGGCTAAATTTAATCTTCTAATGACAATTCTAAATAAAAGGTAGAGTCTGAAATGTTTATATCATAAACCTTTAAAACCCCATTCTAATTTGGTAGACCATTAATAGCTGCCAACTCCTATGGTGACCCCACGAAATGCTGGTTGTTTACTTCAGTTAATGAACTACCCATTTCTATATCCAGGTAATCAGCGATCTTAATTGAGTTAAATGGAACCCAACAACGGTTCGCATTCAAAGTAACTTTGGTCTACAGTATCAGTTAGTAACCTCCGCTTAGTTGGTGCCCTTGTCACTCTCTTTGGCTAATTCGCGGCCCTAATCCAGATGTTTAGCTTCGCTAATTGGCACCAAAACCCGGCACCCTTTGACCTTTGCTTGGCAATCCGTTGGACTGTCTGGCTGATTGATTGATTGATTAATCGATTGCCTGGCCCACCGCCTAGATCCCACCTTTTGCCCCACCACCGAGTTTGTTATGCTCTTCCGTTTTGTCGTTCGCGCACTCGTCGGCTTGATTGATTAGTTCGACGGGTTTGAGGGTCGGCAGTGGGTGGGAATCCGAGGGGGGCCATCAGCCACTTTCAATTACCAATTACGGATATAACACAAGGAGTCGCCTGCCCTTGTTGGCCTTTTGGCCTTTAACGCTCAATTGATTTGTTTGGTTAATGCGTGGCCGATTACAGGTAAATTTCCGCCTTCTGACCGGGCAATTGCCCCGCGAACTGTTTACACACTCAACACACTCATCACACACACACACACACCCACTCAACCACACACTTATTTTCCACCCCGGCATAACCCAGCTCCCTTCATTATGTTTGGAAACTTTTTAATAGCTCTTCGGCCAAGCATTTTGCGGCATATGCGCCGGCAAGTATGCAAAATATTTTTAATTTTTTTCCGCTGCTCTACGAGTTCCTGGTCCACACCCCCTCCCCTCCAGCGGAACCATTAAAAATGGCCGACGTAGCCTCGTCAATGGGACATTTGGGAGCACCAGACACGACCTGCACTCAAAAAAAAACAACAGCCTGGGAAATTCTTTTCTTGAAAGTTTTCATATTTTTTACTACTTTTATAATGAGCTCAGCAAGTAGTATAATTTTATAGCCCCATAAAAATACAAAATACTTTGTGATACGTAAAATATATATATTTTAATTTAAATATTTTTTAAAGGTCTAAAAGTAGTGATTTGCGTTGTAAGCTGATAAGATATAACTATAAATGCATAATCTTAAAGTGTATACCTGGAAAAACTTACTTGCTGCCTTCTCTGCTTGAATATTATTTTTTTTTAAATATGGATATAGAGTAGTTCGAATATTCTTGCCACCAATATTTTTTGCAAGTGCCCGAGCAAAA